TTTTTCATTCTGGTCTCTGTACTTTCAAACACCTATTTTGATTATTGTACTTTCAACTTTTATTTATTTTAGTTTTTCTACTTTGAAAATGTCTATTTTGGTCTTTGTACTTTATTTTTTATTTTTATCTAATTTTTTCTATTATAATTCTAACATGATACTTCCCTCGCTAAATCGCCAAGGAACTTCCCTTTGCTAGAATCTTTGACAACGTCATTTTTCTTGCTACGTCTGGGTGTAAATTCTCCCTTTTATTGATGAGTGAAATTACAAAAGGGAGGGATGATAAGACATCTGCGAACTAAAGAAGTTAAAACTTCTCCTTGTAGAAATTGTCAACCTGGTCTAACTTAACTAGTTAAGGGACATATACTCGTCCAAAAAGTCATGGGTTTGAAGTGAACCTCCATCCCAATTGCAAAAATTAGTCCAAAGTTCTGACCCAACATGAATGCTTTGATAGAGTACAAGTACAATAGTACTAAAAAAACAAAAATTGAACTAAAATGGTACAAGGACCAAAATGAATGTTTTGAAAGTACCGTGACCAAAATGAACCAAAATCAAATTAAAAATATTGAGACCAAAATAGTATTTAAACCTAGTTCTTATCACTTTCATTTTCTTCTCGTCCTGCCAAGGTGCAATATCATTTGACTTATTAATTTAATTTCAAAGATATTTCTCCCTATCTGTGATGCTTATACCATGTTCAAATGTTTGTAAAATTTTAGGTTTCTGCTGAAGTTGACAGGAACTGAAGAAGAGATCAATCTTTTAGGTGATGGCACTGAGAAAGCCGAGTTCGGCGAATGGTCATGGATGTCGCCCGAGCAAGTACTAGAACGTGTGAGTAGACCATCATTAACTTGCCATTACCTAGCAGAATGAATCTGATAAATTGGTAATCTGGTATTGTTATTCATTCAACTTACATTTAATTTAATTGCTATCATGCAGGCTGTAGATTTCAAGAAACCTGTTTACAAGGACGTTCTAATGGTATTCAAACCCTATCTCGAGTAATATTGTTCCGAGCCATAAAAAATTTATTCTTGACACTCTCAATAATGTTGGATTTAGCTCCCAAGGGGTAGCCCAGTTGGCAAGGACTCGAGTGCCCCTGGTGAGCCTAATACCAAAAACCTTTGATGTCTCTTGAGTCCAAACTTTAGAGTGGGCGCGAGTGCCCCTGGGTATAGGGGAGCAAAGTTCCGACACTTATTTATCCAAAAAAGAAAATGTTGGGTTATTTTTTTCTTTTGTCAATTGAACCAAGTTACAGAAGAAAATCTTTTTTTTTCTTTTATACAACATGTGGAGGTGGGGTTCGAACTCATGACCTCTTGATCAGAGATAAGTACCTTAGTTATGCTCGGTTTGACGTTACAGAAGGAAATCTTGTCCAGTCTCCAAGCTTTGGTTGTATAAGGACCCAGCTTGATTGGGTAAGTATTCTTCTTCCACGAGGTTTGATTATAGGACTGTTTTATTGGAATATGATCATTGAAATAAGAGGTTTATTTTTCATTTTACACTAGAATGCTATTACATATAGTAATGAGATTTTATTTTATATAGGTTTAAACTAGAATTGTAAACATTTTTAGTTGTACCAAGTAAAATCTGATTTGTTAACAATCAACTGCGAAGAAATTAGTTCATGTTGGCAGGAATTTAGGAGCATATTGTTGGTGATGTTGAAACAATATTCTGACGAAAGGCAATTACCAGGACAGTCTTATTTATAAGAAAAGAAAAAAAAAACTTTTTTGTTTTAATAACAGTCTGGTATTTCATTATGAACATCTTCTGAATTTGGTTCAAAGAATTCGTAAATAGGAAAAAAAAAATATCAAAGATGATAGGCGAACTTTTAATTTTATTCTATTTCTAGGAGATGTACAGAATCTGACTAGACTAATTCTAAGAAAATAACGAGTTTTTACTTCAGTAAACTAAGTTTAATATTAATAAATAGATTTAAACATTTTAAATTGTTTTTTAAATAAAAGAAATCTTGAAGTAATATAAATTTAATTGAAACATTACAACAATTCAAATAATATTTAAAAGAAGAAATACGAAATTACTGTCAACGAGTTGGAATCCCAACAAAGTAATGGTACTAATAATTTTATTACAATGGATAAATATTTCAAGATGCTTTTATTTTCAATACTTTTATAGAATTTCATTAAGAAATTTAAAAAAATAATTTATAATGTTACATTTTTCAACTGTTTGTAGTTCAAGTATCTATAATATTGTACTATGTAGACAACAACAAATGAGGCTTCAATCCAATACTTTCTCTAGTATCTACTACTACTCTAGTATCTACTAGTACAACTATTGAAGTAAGAAAACTAGCAAAGTTTGAAGGCCTAAATACCACTAAAACCTCCAATTCTGTCCTCGGATTGTCCAACTGGCAAGAGCTTGGATCTGTATGATTTAAAGGTCTCAAGTTCAAACCTTCTGATAAGTTTAACCATTAACTCTAAATTTTATTCTTTTTTTTTCTCGAGTGGAGTATATTTCATGGGCATTGATCCTTAATTGCTCATCACAGAGCTGCAGCATAGTCCTAACTCATCTCATTCAACAGATAGGAGAATGGAATCTTGGTTATAAACATGTGACATTTCATCTCTTGTCATGAAATACATTTTGTATATGATGATAAACAATATCTGCTACGATGTCGGGAGAGAATTGCCTGACCATGTCGTCCCTCGCCCATCGTCCTTTGGCCTTGGCTTCGTCAACATTCGTCGTTACTTCCCTCATCAAATCTTGAAGCTTCCCTATGGATGGTTCGGCCCACAGATGCCCTTTGAATGGACCTTCCTTTACCTCACTCATTCTCTCAACTGCCAGTGGATAGCTATTCTCGTCCGTCAAAAACTCCGTTTGCCCCGACCAGTTGGTCGCAATCACTGGCAACGACATGGCCATCGCTTCAACGAGCGGCCTCCCCCACCCTTCGCCTCTCGATGGCAGAACAAACGCATCTGCAGCCTTGTAAATTCTAGGCAAATCAGTTTGAGCTATATGAGTATCAATTACATAAACAGGAGCCCAACCAGAAGCTGGCTTTTGGATGTCTGAGTTCTCTACAAAATCCAAAATCTTGTTCCCAAAATCTCTATCGCTATGGTAAGGATTTGTCAACAAGAACAACCCCACTTGATCCTTCTTAGAGAATTCTTTCAAATAAGCTTCCAACAACAGATCCCAGCCTTTCCTAAACTCCCACTTGAAGATACTCAGAAACACAAATCCATTGTCTAAGCCCATTTCCATGTCTTTGGAACCTAAAACCAGAGTTCCTAAAGATGCAAGACTAAACGGCCTATATTTCAGAGGATCAAAGAAGTTCACATCAATGGGTTGAACAATTTTCACAATCTTGGAAGGATCAACCCCACTTTTCACGAATGTAGAGACATGAAATTCAGAAGGAACCCAAATATAATCCATTAACTTACAGCGATTCACATGTTCTGGATTCACCCTATCTGTTTCAAACATTGTTCTGCCAATCACTGCCTTGAACTTTTGGTAAACACCTGGTGGGCAAGGCAGGGTTTCAAACAATGGAGGATTCCAGGCACCGGGCTCGCTGTGGCAGATCACAACAGTTTCATTCATTCTACAATCTGTTCCGTGAAGTTGAATGGCCAAACTCCTGACAGAATCTGGCAATCCCTCCCAAAAATCGATGGATTCTAGATCGCCATGTTGCTCAATCGCCAACCGGAACTCGTGTGGGGCTTTGATATGGTGGTGAAGGGCTAAAATGTAGGACCAAGCTTCTGAACTGTACCCACCGCCGGAGAGAAATGGAGCCATCCAGAGGACGCATGGAGTGGGAGGTGGGATTGGAATGGAATTTGGAGGTGGATTGAGGAATTTGATGAATTTTTGGAGAAGTTTTAGGGATTGGGTTTTGTGATGATCTGTTTTGGTGAAAGTGAAGAAGGAAATTGCGATGAGGAGAATGAGAATGGAGATTGCAGAAGATCGGAATTTGAGAGAGTGAGGATTCGGAGGTTGTGGATTGCGGTGGTGGAGATCCATGGCGGCGGATTCAGGGAAACATTTGTTTTGAGATTAAGCAAAAATACTGAAAACAAACGAAAAGGATTTTGAAGGTGTTCTGTTCGACGGCGGAAGAGGAAGCTTGGAAATTGGAATTCGAACAAGAGCCATCGAATTTCTAAAAATTGTCATATCACTTTCATTTTCATTTTAAAATAGCTTTGTCCAATGATTCTCTGTCAATTTCTTAGGAGATGGTGTTTATATTAAATTACAAAACTGCCTCAATTGAGCTATGGTTAAAATATTTATGTTCGACTAGAAGCATGTTGGTTCGAATTCCACCTCAAATTTCTACTGTATAAAAAGTGTTTTCTAATTTTTTTTAATGTAATGATAAAATTACAAATGTCTTTTAACTATTACTTCTCACAATGTTTTTGAGAAGTAATGTTTTGATAAATCCTATAAAAAAAATGTTTTGATAAATTAAATTACTTATCATAATATTTATGCATTAGAGAAAAGTATGTTTTGGTAAATTAAATTACGTTTATGTCCGATTGTTAGAAAATTTCTACGATGCTGCTCACTGCATTTGATTGTTAGAAAATTATTACAAATTTCGATATCTTGCTGGTATGATGGTTTATTTTATAAAAAAAAAAAAAACACATTTTTTGCACGAACTAATAGTTAGAAAATCTTTTGTATTACATTTCTAATATGAGCTGAAAATTTGAACACGACTTTTTTTTATCAAGATAAAGTGCTTTAATGAGTTGAACTTGTATTAGATTTTGATATTCTGGTTTATAAATTAATGCGCGGTGGAAATGTGTACAAAATTATAATTTTGATAGAGCACATTTTAAATCCAGCTTATATATCATTATGGAATTGAGAGGAAAGTGAAAATCATAGTAAATTTTTTCATCTGCTTTTTTCATCACAGTTTTAAACTAAAACTGAGAGTTTCTGCAGATGTATACGCACACTTTTCTACAAAGGGAAAGGAAGAACCTGACTCGTGATATTGTTGATATTGAGAAAGCAGAAAAATGCTAAATTTCTTCATAGCTTTGAAGAGAAGCGGCTCAAGCAAGCTTCAATTGATCCATGGGGTTCATCTGTTGGCAGATACACATCATCCTCAAACTGCAAAACAACACCACCACCAGCCATTTCTTTAAAAATATAAAGCAATTTCAATGTCTGTTGTTAAAATCTCTGCTCAATGTAACATGTTTCTATCTTAATTTTGTGATGAAGTTCCTATCTATTTAAGAGTTCCATGTCAGCCAGCAGTAGATAAAATCTGATGTTTATAATTATACAGGTACAGATTGCCATTATAAATTATCATGGTAACATGATGCATGGTAGATATGAAATTATGTTTCAGATATCAAATTCTCGGGTATATTCTTGCCAAGGGCTGCTGATTTCGGTCGATGTTGTTACAAAATTCATGCCATTGGGTTTGGGTTCTTCAAATGGTAGCAACTCGTGGGGTCTGCTAGTGGCATTGGGGACGGGATTATGTTCACTTCTGTTTCTTTTGGCAGAAGTCCAAACCATTGTTCTGGCAGATTTTTGTTATTACTATGTCAAAAGGGAGTGATAGCACCCCCTTTTGCTGAAATCTTTATGGCGGCATGGTTTTGCTCATGGGACAATTATGTTGTTTGGGCATTCTCCAATTTTAGCTCTCATCAAAGGCTTTGGATGTTTTCTCCTGATCTGTATATTGGTGTAGGTTTTGCAGCTTGAAGGGAGTGGTTTTTCGTTTTGTCAAGATATTAACATTTTGTTTTTTAATGCTCTATTATCTTGTAATATTTAGAAATTTGTTCATTATTTGACTGTTTAGTTTTTTTTTCTTTTTTTTTTTGCCTCCCTGGAAGTTTGGATCTTTTGGATCCTTGAACATTTTTCTTCCTTTTCATCCATGATGGAAAGTTTGTTTCTTAAGGAAAAAAAAATCATGTCATCCTCACCAAATTAAAAGGGTTCTGATTGATGATGAAATTCTATAATTCTAATCTTATTTATGATGGGAGAATAACGAAAGCAGGAAGAAGTTGAAGGTCCACAATAAGCAATATAAGAAATTCTCAGGACAAGATTAACCAGAGAAATAACAGGACAATTTTACTATATCTAGAAAGATGAAAAAAAAAAAGAGAAAAATTGCGATGATAGGCTTCTCTAAGGAAATAAAGTAACACATGGTGAAAGAAACTGAATTGGACAGGATATTGGCAATAAAGATATCAAGAACTCTGCATGAACCAAACATAAATTTTAGAGTTCAACCAGGGTTGCAAAGCTATTACCAACAGCAGCCTGAAACCTCTTCAATGAATATGGAAAACGAAAAAGCTAACCTTCATAAGCATCCTACCTTTACGATACTCCGATTGTCTTTTGTTGATATATTGACAGGTAAGAAGTGGAGATTTGGCATTTTCAGCTTCACCAATGATATAACAGGGAACCTAAAATAGTGGAGATCCAAAATTTATTTTCAGAAAGTTTAAACCCTACCACTGACAGTAGAAACTTTTGTGGAAGTTAGTACGATTGTGCATTCAAGTGTGTGCGTATTTGTGTGAATGAGAGAGAGACCTGCTGAGGACACTCTTTGCCATGTCATAAAGAGTGTATTGAACAGATGGACTATAAACTCCCTCTTTCGGAGGACCAAAGAAAGTGTCAACTAACACTTTTTTCACATCTAGGTATGTTTCCGTGAAGTAAAACTGCTTTTTGGGGATACTATAGAGAGCTTCAAATGAATACCTGCATCAAAGGACATACTAGGAATTTATTGTCCTTCTACCTGTACACAAAAACAAAACTGAAAAATAGAAGGCATATCAAAAGCTTTAGTTCTCAGTCACAATAAAAACTATACCTCCACGAAGCAGAGACCTCGGTAGCCAATATCCTCTCTCGTGTCTCAGGAAGAACCGTGTAGTTATCCCTAATAAATCGCTCAAAACCTGACTGCTCACATGATGAAGTTTAGAAGGTGAATTAGCAGAAACATCAGATATCGAAACTGCATCTACAAGAAGCAAGTTTCCTGAATATATTTTCTGCTTTGCATTCTACTAGGTAATCGAGTGCACATGAGTTCAATGTGAGCTAACGTTAAGCCCCATCATACACACCAAAAGAGGAAAATAAAACAAATATGGGAAGGAATAAAAGATGGAAGAACACCTACACCATGCAACACTTTTTTCTATCATAATACAAAGAATATGTAAGAATTGGAATTATTTACTAAAGTGAGAGTCGTAAATAGTCATAACTTAAGCTTCCTGGAAAAAAAGTGTGGAGACCTGTTGCATTTAGCATCAACAAAAACATAAACAAAGAACAATGTGACAGGTCACTTGTATCTAGAACAATATCTATTGAATTTTGAATATGCATTTAAAATGTTAGACTTACTTGAGTTGTCTTCAGCAAAGACAATCCCTCAATACCAGAGGTCACTTGTAATGCACCTGACTTCTTAACTATCACCTCTGTAGTGTGCTTTTCAGATCCAAGTTTGAAGCCTTCAATAAAAAAAATATATATGAAAATAAGAACTCAGAAAACAAGTGGTTACTACTTAGATACAAAAAGATACCAGTATGCTCAATTCTATTACGATAAACTAAATACATGGTTTATGATTATAAGTGCATTTAAGCAAAGATATACAAAAATGTTCACTGGAATAAGCCATCTGTCCCAAGTACAAAAAAATAAGATACAAAATTCCAATGTTAAGTTATTTTTACAAAGGTACATAATGAAGAAAAGTTTAGGATTGAAAGACCAAAGAGGAAAGGATGTTAAGAATTTTGCCTTCTCCCATGTAAAACTAAAAATACATGGTTGTATGCATAAAATTTGTTTGATATCCCTCTAACCAAATTATCTATAGTTTATAGTTATGCTGAACATACAAACTTTAACATAATTTATCTTTTCTTGTTGGATTTACCACCAGAAGACTTTCATTAAGGATCCAAAACCATTTTTATCATCATGAGAAAGGGCAAGAGAACTCATTTGAAAAGGATATCAACCACTAAAGTTCACTAAGTTCATCAATCATCAACATTTAAACTCACTCAGAGACTCCAATTTGCAGACAAGGAAGATGGAACAATGGAAGCTTTAAAACTGTAAGTTCTTTAAACTAAGAATTTCATCATCTTCAATACATTTTCAAAGGTTGGATGATAAAAGGTAGTGCTCAGCAAAGTCGTTACTAAAGTTCGTCTATAAGAGCTAAGAATTATTCACTGGTCAGTCCACAAATATGAACAACTAACCATGGTTGTGTGGTTGACCATTGACAGATACACGCTCCCATGACTTTTCTACAATCTTCACTATTGCGGTAGTAACCTGCAAAATGAATTACAATTATTGAGAACGTCTTTGGATTTTTTAACTTTTAGCCCCTACTGATCGGAGAAGATCCCGATGATGTGCACCATGTACAGTGAGGAGGAAAAGGGGGATATGAGCAGAAGAAGAGAAGATGAAAATGGAAGGAATTCAAGAAGCAGGAAACATATTTTCTGGAAGTTGGTAGTAAATAGATGTCCAAGTTATCCTGCCAATGTACAACCAATTTAGTGAACAGATTATTAATCAGTTGTGCATGCATCTGGAGAACGTCTCAATGGGATCGTGGTCGACATGTAGGGGTGGAAGGAAAAAAAAATACTACGGTCATATTTGATGCATGTTAGCAATATTTAAGAAAGTACTCTAAAAGAGATCTAGAAGCAGAGTGAGCATGCTTCTACTATTTAAGAAAATTCAGATAGTAGGTATGTAATCTACCAATAAAAACATAAAATTATGCAGTAAATCCATTACTAATTTGGGAGCTTAACGATACATATGACCTTTCAAGAATTTTGGAGTGCGCCAATTTTTCTTCCGGATTAAGAATTAACTAGTTAGAAATGAAAAAACAAAAGTTCCACTTGTACGGCAAAAGTCATTTAATCTTTATGAAACCTAAGGCGCATCAAATAAGACCGAGGACAACGAGTTACCGAAGGGATTATTAAGTGATGTGGTGCAGTAGGATAAAACAGTAGAATTTTTTTTCCTTAAATTGTTGCTCGAGAGTGGATCTGCTATGGCGAAGGCACAAGTTGCATTAGATACAATGAGCAAAGTATAATAACTTTGATGTTGAAGGATACGGATCAAAGTGATGGATTGCAGCTTTCAACAAAAATATGTGAGATCTTTAGTGCAGTTTCAGAACTGGTTGGACACGATCATGCAATAGTTTTGAAATCGAGATAACTATTACTTTCAATTCTTACCCGCTCCATGTAGTGGGTTTACCTCAAGATGGAGCGGGCGAGAAGTTAATTTTGCTTGATGTAATGCGAATATGCTGGGTAGATAAGAGACAAGCACATTATCACTGCTGAACTATGCATAATTTACACCGATTAAAACTCCTACCACATCGCAACTTCTGGTTTCTCTTGAATACAAGTGCCAACCTGGATAGATGCGTCAATATAATTAAGAATACAAGTTGAAACATGGGGCGGACCTGCTTGTAGTATGATGTGAAGTGCTTGGCAAGAAGAATTGCAAAATCTTCCACTGAAATTTGCTCCGAACATTCCTTCGCTTTTGCATATACCTAAATTAAATAAAAGTAAATCCATGAACTTTTAACAGTAAATCGAATAACAGAATCAGAATTTAAATTAAAAAAAAAATGTGCGAGCAATTAACAGTATTAAAATTTTCGCGATTTGCTCTGTTTTCCCAACGCAAGATCCAAATCCTAGCCTTCAGGATTTTTCCATCGATTACCAACTTTACTAATTCACATGCACTTTATGGATCAAAAGTTGCTCGATCTCACAATCTCACTCATAGCATCAAACCATAAATAACGATCCAATAAAGTAAATACTAAGAAGTAAGAACAGAGCAGCCGATCTCCAGACTCCAAGCGACTCGTCTAAATTGAACGATCGAAAATCAAACATCGACATAACAAACCCGCAACGAATACGCTCTACTACTAACTTAACAGTTACGCAACTGGTTACTAATTAATCAACATAAACAACACAATCCGAGTTCAAAAAAGAAACGCATAAAAAATAAAAAAAACAATCCAAATCTCGACTCTCGACTCTCCTTTTCCCTTCATGCACCCAACGCAATCAGAATCAGAAGAGACAGAATCATAAAACATCATCACAGCGATGAGTAGACAGAAACAATTACAGTGTTCTTCATAGTATCGGTGGCGACGATATCGGAATTATCATCGCGAACGTAGGCGGAGACGCAATCGGAGAGGATACTGATGCCAACGCTCCACTCAACGATGAAATGGCGGCCGTCTCTGTTCCGCCAAACCCGCGCCACTCTCACTCGCTCCTTGCCGTGCCTCTGCTGGAAGTTGAAGCCGTTCACTGCCACCACTGCGTCGTCGGCCGCCATGAATGTAGTCGGAGATCAGGTTTGTGCTGCAGAGAAATTTGATTTCAGCAGAAGAAAGTTTTTTATTCTTTTTTCTGGTAGTTTTGCAGTAATGGAAAATGTACAGTACATTCTCCAACCCGATATGGTTGAACGACTTGAATTGTGCATTTGCCTGTCCGTTTTCGATGTGTCATACTTCAACTTTTACAGCGCATTTCCCATTTTTTTATTTTTTTAATTGAAATTTTAAATTCCTAATTTATTTTAGTATATTGGAACTCACGGACTTTACCATCTCGGGCTAAGTTCGCATTTTAAATTTGTTTATTAATTTAATGATTTTGGTAACCATAAAAGATGATATCAAACTAGTCCTGTGTTCGAACTCCTCCATTGTTATTTCCTCTTCATTTATTATGATTTCTACTTGTTGGGTAATTTTCTCTACGAGTGAGGGAGAGTATTGAAAATCCATATATATGAATTAAATTTATCTCACCCATCAAGTTTTTGGGTTGAATTGTGATTTATTCATCTTCTCATCTGCTCCACGTTGAAACTGATTCGTTGTGTTGCTTTCGACTTTCGGTAGATGATATTGCGGATATTTTGGGAGTGGAGATGTTTTTTTTCTAATGTTCGGCGTCGCTGCAATCTGTCAGGTTTTATTAACTTTTACTTTACTTTTACTTTTAATATTATTTTGGATAATGGTACTACAGTTGGTTAGAGCTACTCTAGTGCAACATATTAATAAGGTGTGGCTTGAGGAAGTTCTCCCTACCATCACTCGAGTTTTTGCTTTTGATTGTCTTTGTTGCTTCCCTTAATTTATTATTCTCTATTACTATATAAAAGAGAAATATATTAAATTTAAATATTGTTTTTGTCTCTATATTTTTTAATAATTTACTATTTCAAATTTTTTCGACCTAAATTTTTGTATATATAATTTGATTGTACAGTTAGACTAGACTAATAATATGGACAGATGATTAATATTCTTTCAAAGAAAAGAAAGACTGAACATGCACGGCATTAACAATTTTGAATTAAAAGGACAAATTTGATAACATATGATCTCAATTGGATGTGACAGTTAGACAAGAAAAGTATATAATAGTCCTGGAAGATAACTATGATGATTACATTGTTGTTATTGTTATTATTATTATTTTGATAAACTATGATGATTACATTATTATGATAGTCCCAATAAAAAATTTATGTCAACAAAAAAAAAGTTCAAAATTCAAAGTCATAATTTTAGAGAGATGGCAATAGAAATAATGAAATATCAACGTGGATAATGAGTATTTATTAAAAAAAAAAGTGTAGATTACAATGTCTAATTAATCACATGTTTTTAAATTTTTTAATAATTTTATGATGTTTAATAAAAACGTTATTGTGGTGGGTTTCTTATTTCTTATTTTTCATTTTTTTAATAAATAAAAAGAGAATTACGTTTAATAATGTTTTATTTTATTTTATTTTTTTATCTCTATTTTCTTATTGAAAAAGAGAGATAGATATATTTAGTAATGGTTTTTATTTTTATTTTTTGAAAATTTTAAATTAAGAAAAGTAAAATTTATGTATGAAAAATAATTTTTAAAATTAAATATTAAAAAAATAATGTTATACTTATCTGTTAATATTTTTTATGCCTTCTATAAATTGGTACTGATAAAATAACATTTTATTTTCATACAAAATGATAAAATAATATTTTTTATTTATATTTTAGAAAAAATTTAAAATCCAAAATTTAATTTTGTTGCTTCTAAAATAGGTACCTTAAAAATCGAGAAAAAACACGTTCCTTAAAATTCATAAACGAGGAATGGCTTTTAGGAAAGTGAGAAACAAAAAAGTCCTAAATTTTATCGATTTTTCTTTTTTTGGAACAAAAAGAAAATTCAAAATGTTCCTAAATTCTACACGTTTCTTCGACACTAAACAAAAGACTACACTTTTTTTTTCTTCTTTTTCTTTCTTTCTTTTTTTTTGTTTTTTGTTTTTTACAAGGCCTTGGGAGATGCTTATGTTTTGAATAAAAAATAACAGAGAGATAAAGATGGTTCCATTTTTAATAAAATGAAAATAACACAATAATAATAATTGGCGCTGCGCTGCTGGTTTTATGTAATACTGTGGGAAGGAATTGATTTTTCTGTTTAAAATATTAATAGATATTTTTCTAAAGATATTTTCTAAGGCATTTATGAAAGGCTGATGAAGGTTTTGTTCCAAGAATACTTTTAAAATATTTATGAAAGGTGTGGGAATCAGTTAATTAATGAGTGGATCATTTCAACTCCGTGTAATAAATTTGAATAGATAATACCGGACTATTTAGAAACTTATTTACATAAATGCTAAATTTTTTTAATTTTAACACTTTTATATTTCTGTATGTAAGATTTTATTTTAATTTCAATTTTACCCTTATTTATTGCATTTATATTTATTATAATTAGTCATTTATTTAAATGCAAAAGATTAATATTTCAAATTATATTTTGTAAACATTAAATTATTGTGGGATTTAAATCAATCATTCTTATAATTCCCTAATTTGGAAATTATACTCCTTAACATATTATACTAAAGAAAATTTATTACAAAATATTCAATTATTTTGATAATTTCCAAATTTACACCTAAATATATTCTACTAAATAATGAAATTTATTACAAAATATTTTTTCATTTCATTACAATTTTTGGCCAAATTTCAATAATATAATCATTATAACATACACTTATTTATATGTATATATATATTTATATGGAGATATATATCTGGCGACCTTTTTATTTATATGGAAATATAAACTATATCCAGTTATAAACTTAAGCAAGATACACACTTAACAATGCTGATATAAACTATAGYCATTATAACATACACTTATATGGAGATATAACTTATATATGRCTATAAAATATATACGATTATATCCMTCTACAATTAACAAACAAAGCAAATAACCTACAAACCTTCCGATCGGCGACTATACAATGGTCGRGATAAACGGAGGGTTCGAATGGTCGACGGACGGCCGACAACAAAAAAGAAACATCAGCATAAACGRACGGTTACAATGGATGGGCGACCGGAGACGAAGGAGAAGCTAGAAGTACTGTTCTGACGACGTAGAAGAACAAAGATGGCAGCTGGAGACGAAGGAACGCAAATGGTGGTCGGAGACGAAGGAACACAAACGGTGGTCAGAGACGGAGGAATGAACGGAAACATAACGACAAAGGAAGAAGAAAAGTCGGAGGAAGGAGGTTTTCGAATTTGTTGAAGAGGATTTTGGGGATTTGATATTTTTTACTTTYAGAAAGTCTAATTAGATAAAATTTAAGGGGTTTAAAATGTAACCTCAAAAGTAACAAATTTTGGATTTTAAAAATTAATCAATATTGAGGTGAGATACAAAAGATATATTAGTTAATTGGGTGATGGGTAACATGGTTGTTTCAAGGCAAAAGTGTAAATTTTATACAATTCAATCATTTTATGTAATTATAGTCTCTAAATAGCYTATCAATGTACGAATTCCATTTGAATATGTACAATATATGTTTATACTATGCTAAAAGAATACATCTAGATGTTTATTTAGTTTTTTTTTAATACATCCGTAAATTAAAACCAGAAAATCATTGACTATTCTTCATGCTATCTTCAACGTAATCAATTAGTTAAAGCATGTGCCATCGAGGTCGAATTTTTGAATCCCAACCCTCACATATTGTTTAATTAAAAAAAACCCCTCATTTACATGTACATGTTAAATATGTGTTTGTTTTTTTAAAATACATGTAGTTTAGAGAATTAATAAATTTTATAGTTTAGATGAATAAAACCCTAAGTTATGAGTTTGTTAAACCCAATTTTACAAGCTAGCATCCCATCATGTTACATTATTGTTTGAGATTTTTAATTCGAAAAAATAAAGGATAAGAGTGCAAGTGTACACTCATCACATGAGTATTCCGAGTATCGATCCTCAGGGATTAATGTAATATTTTCTCTTCTCTGTTTAATCCCTTAAGTTGTAAAAACTTGTCAACCTTCTCAATATTGACTAGATTCAAATCTTAACCGGTCGAAATAAAATTTAAACTTGATAGAAGGTGATGAAAAAGTGAGAAAACATCATTTTTACYCTTGCTGTCATGTTTTAAAGATTTAGCTAATTCTCCATAACCGGACTAGGAAAAACGAATTTAGCTCRTACTTTTAAAGGAAAAACAAAATGTATAGGTTTGGCAAAAGGAAAATATGATTAAAAATCAATTTGTTAAAAGCAAAGTTGTAAAAGAGAAGTTTGCAAAATGAACTTTATCTTTTATCTGGGGAGTAAGAACTCATTCCATTCTACATGGATTACAAAGATCTCTTAGTGCAAGAACGAAAATAAGAAGAATAATAATGTTGGAATTTCATAAATTTGGATTTCAAAGAGTACAAGGAATAAAAGCTTAGCTAAAAATTTGCTTACCACCCAGACAACGATTGAGAAATTAAGCTAAGGCAAATATAATTTAACTGAAGGAGTCAAATTAAAGTTAGAATTTATAGGAAACTCCAAGTTGGTTGACGTTTGAGGGACGTGCTCTGCAATTGACTTTTAACTTGTTTGACTAAAAAAAACTTGTTTGACTAATATTTTACAACCAAATATTAAATATTCCTCCCTTGTATGGATGACACGTGGCGTTTAGGTGTAGTTAAAAGTTCGATTTTGTTAATTTTCACTCTAAATGATGTTAAAACTTAGTTTATGCATAAATAGACCATGGTTAAGTATAAGGCATGAATATAACACCAATTGTGCATAAAAACAAGCTAAAACATACCGATGATTTAAATAAAACAAAGTAAAATATTATGAGTTTAATCAGTTACCTATTTTATATATGGTCTCTATTAAAATATATAAATCTTTTAATAAAATCTATTAGTTTTTTCAGTACAACATATAAAATCTATTAGTTTATTCATTTTAATTTTTTCAATGGACGAAATATATCAAAGGTTTTTCTTTGACAATGCCACTTTTATAAGGAGATAATTAATTAGATATATCTAGACATTTTGAATCCATTTGGTAGTCTATGTTAATTGTTTATCATTTCTAATTTTTATGGTGTTCGGTAATTATTTCAGTATTTTATTTCACATTTTTAAGAAATGTTGTTAAATTGTGTAGAAATTTTAGTAATARTTTTTTTCCAAAAAATATTATTTTACCATTATTGACTTATAAACGAGAAATAATATATTATTATCAAACATGTTTTTATTTTTTGTTTTATTTATTTGTCGCGTTTTTTTTTTATGAGAGAGGAAGAAGAATTAAAAAAATGAAATAATAAACAAGAGATGAGAAAAGGTTGCCAAATATGCCATTCTTTTTTTTTTTTTTGAAAAAGTTGCCAAATATACCATTTATTGCTAAGTTTAACGGTATTTTCTTATTAAATTTTGACGTTTATTTGACATGAATTTGAAGTATTTTTGTTAGTTGAGTTTTTTTAACTTACTGATGTGTTCCCTATTAAATTTTAAGATCCATCCTAAAGGTACGTTAAAATGCTACTATGGTCCATGTACTTTTAGTTTTGGTTCATTTTAATTTTAATATTTTAAAATGTTCGTTTTAGTATCTATACTTTAAACTTTTATTCATTTTAATTATTTATTTTCAAAATGTTCATTTTGGTCCCATACGTTTAAAAAGTTATCAATTTGATCATTTAATTTTATTTTTAATTACATTTTTTATATCACAATTTTCAACATGACACTACACTAAATATATTTCTTAAAATGTAATTACTTTATAATTTTCGTTGTGTGTAAATTTTGTATTAAAATTTTGCAAATTGAGACTAAAATGATCACTTTTTAAAAGTACAGAAATCAATATCAATATTTTAAAATACATAAACTAAAATAAATCAATGTTAAAAATAGAAATATTAAAACAAAACCTTTTAAAAGTACATAGGCATGGAAGAAGATTTAAACSGATGAAATTAAAAGTGAGAGGATAAAATTGATTCATCCACTCACAGTGATAGTGAAGGAACAATAAATTCATAGGAAACAAAAAACAAAAATAGCGTTAGAAAAAAACAAAAATATCTCTACGAGTAAAAAGCGCTTGTAATGGTCCTGGGTCAGCTGGCGAACTGTTTTTATGACTATTCGCGCCAACAAAAGCCCAGTGCTCAGAATTGATAATTGGGACCAATTGGTGAGAATTCGTTTTTCTTTTTCCCTCCAATTGTAAATTCTCTCGCCGGAATCTTCAGCTTTCCCACCGGAACCACCTTCCATTTCTTAATCCCGACGCAATTCCTCAATTATTTCCGAATTTTATATTCAAATTCCAGCTATAAAGAGTCGTTTCGAGGTCTCCTTCGATGTGTCTGTTGAATTTGGGGAAAGGCCGGGAGATGCTGGCGCAGGAGGAGGAGAAGAGGGTGGTGGTAGTCGGCGGAGGAGTCGGCGGCGCCTTCGTTGCCTACTCGCTTCAGTTCGTCGCCGATGTCGTGCTCATCGATCAGTAAGATGTTTCATCTTTATCATTTCGTTTAATTTGTGCCTTTTTTTTTCCTGTTCTTGTTCGGTTATTGGATCGTAGGAGTTGTTGTTATAGGAAAGTTTAAGAACTGTTCCCCATTTTGTTGGAGGGAATTTGAACTSGAGAAATCATAACTTTTGATTTTGGTTGCTGAAAGTAATTTTGAAATTGATACTTATGTTAAACAGGGCAGTGGAAGAAAAATTAGAGGTATCAAACTTGTAACTTGAGTAGCAAGCTATGAGAGCCAGTGAACCCTGCCGCTGCTCTAGGTTAGAGGCAAGCCCATTTGAGGGTTAGCCAACGATGAATAAGAGGATGTTTGGATGGTTTGGGGTGAATGTTTAGGACACTATTTATAGGCAATAAAAAGTAGTTGCTCCAAGGCTAGAAGAGCTTACAATTATTGTTCTCATGGATATATTTTCGTATAGTATGATCGACACAATTTATTTTAAATTGATGAGCATATTTTCATTTTTCAGCTAGATTTTGTTAATTTTCTTTGAATTTTCAATACTAGCCCTGAAAAGACTCTCATAAAAGACTATTAGAATATCATATAACTCTTAAAAAATGGAAAACAAAGAGAGATTGTCATTTTTATTTTTGAATAGGATCATATGCACCAATTATTGCAAGTAGATATGTTAGATGCAAATTAGAATTTAACTATGTGTCTTCATGGTCTATGCATCAAAATTGTATTATAGGATTTTTAAAACAAAAGAGATATAATGGGAAAGGTGAATTTCCCTTATGGGCTTTTACATCTTTGGATAAAATTAAAGGGCAAAATACTTATCCTTCATTTATAGTCAACAATATGCCAGGTGTTCCTATCCCTCATTTCCTAATATTTAATTTAATCCCATCCCATTCTTAGCTAAACATCAACTCGAGTAGTGTCTCTTTTCTGTTCCTGAAGAAAGTATTTTTCACAAAGGTCATCTTGATTTATTTGGATCCAGGAAGGAGTATTTTGAGGTTTCATGGGCAGGCTTGAGGTCAATGGTGGAGCCTTCATTTGCTGAAAGATCCGTGATTAATCATACTGATTACCTTAGCAATGCAAGAATTATTGCATCTTCAGCCACAAATATCACAGACAAGGAAGTAATTGTGTCAGATGGCTCTTCAGTTCCCTATGATTATCTTGTCATTGCCACTGGTCACAAGGAATCCGTTCCAAGAAGTAGAACTGAAAGGCTCAGTCAATACCAAGAAGGTGAATAAAGCTAATTAAATGAAATTGTCCACATTGTTATTGTGTCAAGAAGTAGAACTGGCCATGTTAATATTTGGGTTGTAGCATGTGCACCGACTTACACCTTTATTTTTTATTTTTTTTCCTTTCTGGAGCTCTATTTGCAAACTTGATATGCAAGAGTGGAGCCAAAAATTTTCATTAGGGAGGAGCAAAATAATCTTTTAAGTTTGAAAATTTAGGGAGAACAACTTGACTCTTTATATGATTTTTAACCTTGATGAGTTAAGAGGGGGGCCCTCCTTCCTTCCTCACTCCGCTCCTGCTGATATGACAGCAGATGTTGAATCTGAAATGTATAAATTAATTTCACATTCTTATTCAAAGTATGATGCACCTAGTGATGAATAGTTGAAAATGTTAACTCATGCGAAACTGAATAATTTCCTAGTTTAAATGATCTTAGTTAGCATGTGGATCAACCTTTGAAATGAGGTTGATGTCGGGTTGGATCTCGATCTCGATTGACAAGGGCATAAATATTTCTTTCTTTTTTAATTATTTTGAATACGATGATAAGATTTAGTATGGAGGAATGGAAATATAAAGAGAGGAGCCGAAGCCTATAAAAGGAGGAGGAAAAAAACCAAGAGACATCCGTAGGCAATATCTTAAAGTAGCAGATTGAGACATTCTTGATTGAGAAAAAATGGTTCCCTCCCAAGGAATTGGAACATAAGCTAGACAGATGTCCATTTTTCATTTATTTGTTTGGCCATTTTTAGCAAGATTAGGAAGAGTATAAATTGTAAAGAGTGCAACAGCTTGTATTGTATGGTTTCTTTGTGTATACTTTTTCGATGTAGTGAAAATCTGCAATAGTAGAAAATGGTCGTAAGTTTCAATCTTTGTTTTATTGCTCTCAAAGCAACATAGATGTTTTGCACATCAAGCTGACTTACAATTTTTGGCTACAGTATTTGAGAAGATAAAATCTGCCAATTCAATTTTGATCGTCGGAGGAGGTCCTACTGGTGTAGAACTCGCTGCTGAAATTGCCGTGGACTTTCCAGGGAAAAATTTGAAACTAATACACCGGGGGTCAAGATTAATGGAATTCATTGGGTTTAAGGCTTCCCAAAAGGCACTTGATTGGTTAACATCAAAGAAAGTTGAAGTGATCCTACAACAATCTATTTCAATGCAATCTTTATCAGATGGGGTGTACCAAACATCGAGTGGCGAGACTATTGCAGCCGATTGCCATTTTGTGTGTACTGGAAAACCAATAGGATCGTCATGGCTGAAACAAACTATCTTGAAGAATAGCTTGGACATCCATGGAAGACTGATGGTCGACGAGCACATGCGGGTCAGGGGTTTTAAGAATGTCTTTGCAGTGGGAGATATCACAGATGTTCAGGCAAGTTCTTTACGTAAAAATATTAGATTCTTGATCATCCAAAATTTAATATCGTTAATATCTAAGAAATAGATAACATTTATCGTACTATTTGAATCAAATTTCATATGTTTGGATTGATAAATGAGTAGATGTGTTGGTAACCTTATAGGTGAATGCTAGTCCTTCATGGCACTCATAGATATGTGCACATCCGACCGCAAGTTATCGCGTTCGCGATAGTTTGTATGTGACACATTTGTATTGCTTCTGGTTTTTAGCACGAAGTTGATTCAAAGAGAATCCAAATTGTCCTTTTTGGCCAATGACAGGATAATCCATCATTTACTGTTCTTTGTTGATCAACTTATGGTTCAGTGTCGTAATGAGAAATGAGTAGGTGCGGATTAGTTAAACTAAGAGTGGATCATTTCTTTAGAGTACAGGGTGTGAAGAAACATAAAGAACACTGAGAAATGGTCAAAAAGTGAAGAAGTAAATTGCAGAAGCGTCAAACATAGGCACCCAGCTTTGCTTCGACTTGTATCGATTTGTTAGCATGCATACATATATCTGTACGGATACTCGACATTGTCTCTGCCTAACTTTGTGAATTTAAATTTGTTGAACAGGAAATGAAACAAGGTTATTTAGCAGAAAGACATGCTCAAGTAACTTCAAAGAACGTGAAACTGCTGTTAATGGGTGGAAAAGAGAGCGGGATGGCTTCATACAAACCCGGTTCTAAAATCGCAATTGTTTCGCTTGGAAGGAAAGAGGGAGTTGCACAACTTCCTTTCGTTACACTTAGCGGACGCATACCTGGATTGGTCAAATCTGGAGACTTGTTTGTGGGAAAGACAAGAAAACAACTTGGATTGGTGCCTTGACGTTGCGTCGAGCATGCGCTCGAGCTGAACCATCCGGTCCTTGCTTGGTCTTGCTTGCATTTGTATGTATTTGGCTGTCATTTTTATCTCACTCTCTTCCCTGGCCTGGCTCTACAAAACCACCTGCTGTATATGGTCACCAAAATTGCTGTATAATATGCACACTCTGATTCTTTTTTCATAGGGATTGGGCATAGTTCATCTCCATTGTATTGTTTCCTTTTCACTACATTATTTAGGCAAGAGGGAAACTCCATAAAGAAGACTTGGAAGATACTATCTGATGTGTGATGTGAGATATCTTAAAAGACCTGCAAGTTAGAATTCTATTAGTTTAAATATTATTTTGCATTATGTAATCTCGATTTTTGTTCATTTTAGTTCGTGTACTTTTAAAACGTCTATTTTAATACTTGAACTTTCACTTTAGTTCTTATACTTTTAAAATATCTGTTTTGGCTGCTGTAATATTAAAAAGTGACAATTTTAATTTATATTTGGAAAATTTTAAAATAAATTTTATGCCTAATGAAAATTCTTAAATACAAAATTATGATTTATGACTATATTTTAAGAAAGTTAACGAGTGAAATGTCATGTTAAAATTGTGATCGAAATAAATGAGATAAAAATGAAATTGAAGTGACTAAAATTGTCATTACTTTTAAGTCCTCTTTTGTTTTTAAAATGAATTTTAAGTTTTCTTTTTCTTTTTTACAGCAATATGTGGGATGAGGATTCGAACCTACAAACTTTTTTTATAAAATTGAATATAAATATTTTAACCAGTTGAATTAAATTTTGGGCGAAATAAATTTTAAGTTGTATGTCTCGTAATCGTGTCATAATTTTGAAAGAAGCATTGTATTTGTGAAGCTGAATATTTAATTTTCGTATTAATTCTTTTACAATTTTTTAATTATATCATTATTTTCCATCAGTTTTTAACCTCACGACAGGTTGAAAATTCGTTTAAGAGGATGTCAAAAATGCACTTTATTAATCAAGATGGAAATTTTCCACATTTCAGTTTATTAAACGAATCCTTACTTACTTAATGTGACTTAATCCATTAAATTCATATAACTCAATTGGTTAGATATCCGATTCCTATCTAGCATCATCTAAAAAAATTTATATATATTCAATTTTCATTCTATATCGTCTAAATAAAAGTTTATTCAACTTGAAATGGATATTTATTGAAAATATTATTGTGTTAACCATTGTCAACTTTATAAAAATATCATTTTCAAATTCATTCATCGATCTTTCTCTTAACATCTAATTTTATTTAATCTAAATTAACGAATAGGTCTTAGATTAAAAAATATATATATACATCCAAAAAAATTAAAGTATTATATATTCACTAAAAAAAATTAAAAATATAATTTGACGAATTCTTAACGCGGTGATCTAGGGAACCAAAGAAAACAATAAAATCCGAGTAGTCGGGGGCAATACCGTAAAATCAAACGTTTCCGAGGGCCAAAAATGTAAAAAGCTATTACTAAATGGTGGCGTGTCAAAAAAATAATCAATCTGTTATAAAAATCATCCAATGGGATTGGCGTTAGGTTCCGACTAAGATAGAATCGGATGCAGGGGAATATATTTGCTTCGGTCTTCTCCTTTCTTTCCTTATGAACGATCCAAGAAAAATCCATGGCATTGGCATAGAGATTCTCTTTAGCGATCGCTCCAGTGAAAGCAAATTCTTTCTTTGAGGTTTTTTTTCTCTCTTTGCTGCGCCTTTTCCGCCACATTCCGGCGCTCTTCCCGTCTCTGAAAGTTCATCGCGTCGGATTACTCGATTTTTTTCCGGCGAGGAAGGAAGAGGAGGAAGAGAAAGATGAAGAGGGTTTTCGGCGTCAAGAAAGACAAAGAACCGCCTCCTTCTATTCAAGATGCATCCGAAAGGGTAATTGTTGTGTTTTTCGCATAATTCGTGACATCTAGGGTTTTGATTTTTGATTGGCATTGGTTTTTTCAAGAATTTATGGCTTGGCTTGACTCGTCTAATAATCTCTCTCTTTCTCGTCGGATTCGTTCGTTTTGATTTGTTTAATTGTTGGTTGTTCTGTATTATTTATTTTCCAGATCAATAAAAGGGGTGATTCAGTAGATGAAAAGATAAAGAAGCTTGATGCTGAACTCAGTAGATATAAGGAGCAGATCAAGAAAACGAGGCCGGGTCCAGCTCAAGAAGCTGTTAAAGCTCGGGCGATGAGGGTTCTTAAGCAAAAACGAATGTATGCCCCCTCGTGCCTCCGTCTGTCTTCGCAACTTTTTGTTAAAATTCTTCCTTGCGCCATTTGCATCAATTTATTTACCTGCACATTTTATCCTTTGACATAAAGTAGGTTGGCTGTGGATACTTTGGACTGTTGGTTTCGGTGATTTGATTAGGCACTTTGGATTTAGAGATCTGGCTAAGTTAGAATGTTAGGGTGTTTGTGTTTCACGGCACCAAGTACAGGACATATATTTACTTAACCGATTTTCATTGAGCGTTTTGTTGTCAAACAAGCTTCTTTTTTCATATTCTTGTGTTCATATGTGTCTTACCTTACTGTAATTTATGGCCACCTAAAAACCTATAGCCTTGGTCGTAAACTTGTTGCTGTAACTCCGATGCCACCCTTCACATTTTCCTTCTGGTTTTACTTCTTCTACTGTTTGCAATTCTGGTCTATCATAAGAAGAGTTGAGTTTTTTTGTTCTCAGATTCCAGAAATCCTATGTGTTCTCTTTCAAACTCTTTCTTGCTGAAACTTTTATTCACCAAAGCTTGTAGATTTAAGTGTTCCCTATCGAACTGATTAGGATGCTGGAAGATTGAAGATTCTGGTCTGACTACAAATGAATTTGGAATATTTTGTTCTAAACATCCAATTTTTACTGTGCTACATATCAATACTTCTACATATTAAGGTATTTCTTATGCTTTAAACAGGTATGAAGGACAACGTGACATGTTGTACAATCAGACATTTAACCTAGATCAAGTTGCATTTGCTTCAGAGGGCATTAAAGATGCTCAACAAACGGTACATCTATCAAACCTTTTTGCATTCATGAGTGTGCTCATTTTGTGGTCACCCCTACTCAGAAAAAAAAACAAAGAAAAAAAAAAGAATGAGAAAAATGAGAAAAATGAATAAGGGAATAAGAAAGCAAATAATAATTTTGTACCTTCCATGGCAGATTTTGACTTTAAAAGATTTAATATTAGACTTAGATTATGGAAACCGGAAGGGAAGATTCATTGGCTTACTTGCATGCTTAATTGTTTAACTAGAAGTCCTGCATTTTAGTTTATGTGTTTATAACGTGAGTCAGATGACCAAGCAACCTGGGATGAGTGATTCCTATCAATGCACCAGTTAATTCTTGCCAAAAATTTGTTTTCTTGGTATCAAGTACAGAGTTCAGGGCAGTTCAGGTGGAGCTTTGTCTGTCTAGTTGGATCCTGCTGCCTACCTCGTGAGAGGACGAGGTAGGGGACAAACATCTGTCATTAGGACGACATTTCTTGAAGTTTAATGAAATTTCATCTAGGTTCTTGTGATTCTTCCTAATATCAGTTTAGCTCGTAATGTGAACTAATATCCTGGATGCATTTATCACATCAAATAGGAGAGTAACCTTTTTCTGCTGTACTAAACTAACATTGTTTTGTTTTTTTCAGATGTCGGCCTTGAAATCTGCCAACAAGGAGTTGAAAGGAATGATGAAAACAGTGAGAATACAGGACATAGACGTCAGTAACACTCAGCTCCTTTTAGCATCCTTGGATATATATATTTTTTTTCCAGCATGTGTTGAGAGGTTTTGTGTTGTTGCCTGCAGAACTTACAAGATGAAATGATGGATCTGATGGACGTGAGCAATGAGATTCAAGAGACTCTTGGTAGGAGCTACAATGTACCTGACGACATTGACGAGGATGAACTTTTGGGTGGTAAGGTTACTGCCATTAAATGCTCAATTTTGACGAAATATTGTACGTTAGGAATCTTATACCTTTACTATTTATTTTGGATGCAGAGCTTGATGCGCTGGAAGCAGACATGGGATTCGAAACTGAAGCTGATGGGGTCCCATCTTATCTCCAGCCTGACAAGGAACCTGATTTAGATGGAGAGCTCAACTTGCCTTCAGCTCCTACAGGTCATGCAGCAGTTCCCCCGGGCAGAACCAATGCACAGGTAATGCTTGTTGAAACTTCAGACATATAAAATAACGGTTAATGGTTATAGAATAAAGGTTTAAATATTCTTTTGGTCCTTTTAGCTCTGGTGGCCCTGTATTTTCAAAACGTTGATTTTGGTTTATATACTTTCAACCTCATTTTTATACCTAGGATGAAATATTGCTTCGATTTTCAAGGCACGTGCTAATGAGTCCCTCCATTTTTACTTGCTGGCTGCTCTGTTATTTTAACTTTATCTTAAAATGATCCTTTCTGTTTTAGCATTACTTTATTCAACCTTCTGCACATTTGTCTTCCTTTACATGCATGGAGTTTTGTTCTAATTTTGATACATACAGGCTGAGGACGAATTGGGTTTACCAGCTGTTCCTCGCGCATCGCTTCGAGGCTAAAAATTGCCATACTCCTCTCTTTGTGATTCATACCATCTTTATCTTGGAGCCGGTGGAGCGAACCTTTGTATACATGTTGTGCAGATTCTACATTTGATTCATATAAATAGATTATTATTCACTTCCACCATGTATGTGAAACCTGCATTTGGAATTGTTCCTCCAGGCAGTCTGAAATCTTTGGCTATGCAAACAAGATCAAACTATACTCTATAGGCACATTCTTGCTCAATTTTTCTTTATAAAAAATAAAATTTTAATACTATTTTGTCCTTTCTAATCTCGACTTCGGATAATTTTGTCTCAACATTTTAAAGGGGATCATTTTATCTCGTCAAATTTTAACACAAATTTTGTATCTAATAAAAATTTTCTAATATAAATTTATGGTTACATTTTAAAAAATATAACATTAAAATTTTGACTTAAATAAATGAAAAAAATATTCACTTTGCTAAAATTCTCAGTTATATTTCATTATGGATTCTATTGTGAGATTAGATGCTTATAGTTTAATTCAATTTCACATGTCTACATTTGTTGTAAAACGAAAAAGTTTTTCTTTTTTATCACCCTTTGATTTTGTGGGTAACCTTTCATTTTATAGTTTGACCTAAAAATTAAAAATCTGGGTATTATTATTAAAATTTAAAAAGAATATTAAATTAATGTGTCACCATACATCTCATCTTTCAGATTCCAAAAAGAAAAAAAGAGTGGATAAAAATTCATGCAACAATCATGGCAGATTATTGTAGGTCCATACCATACGGTGTCTTTCTATTTCAATCTTTCTTTAAAATTTTCCCTGTGGCTGTAGAAACAGCCTCCAATTTCCTGCAAAATTCAACTTCAAACCCCTTCTTTCAGGTAAAGCTACTCCAATCCAAAGGGTTCATTTTCAGAGTTTTTTTTCCTTTTTTCTTTTTTTCTTTTCCTCAAATCAGATCAGTAAAAAAAAATTTCAGTTTCCATTTCATTGGCAGAAAATAATTGCCAATGGCAGAACAGTGGCAGGAGGCAAGCATTTCAGTGACATGTCCTCAAAACTCCCAAGTTTTCTCCCATGGATTCTACTGCTGATCTTTCGATACGTGGTTCGATTTTCCTACCTACTCGGCTGGAAGAAGATGGTTGGTCCAAAATGACTTGTTGACTTGCTGTCTGTCTCTGTCTGGAAGTTTTGCTAATACAAGCTTCAATTTCTCCACCTCCTTCTTAAGAGCCTGGTGTGTGCCTGTAACAAGGTGAAAAGAAAAGATATATATGATATTTCTATGCACTGAGAACTGATGTTTCATAAAGATAAAGTTATTCCATTAACTAAATAATCAGTGAAACCGTCATAGGAAAATATGGGCAGAAGAATCAGATTTCCCATTTTGGGGAAACTTTAATCACAGAGTGCAAATCTCAATAACAGGTGAGGTCCTGAGATCTCTTCCCTGCTTGTGCTTATAATTTTAGATCCCTATCTCTTTGTCATACACATGACTAGAATTACCTTTGCCTGTGCTTCGATTACCCGCAACACTCGGAAATAAGTATATTCAAGTTATAATAAAAACGATAGAGGCCGCAATTGCAGAATCTACACCTTCAAAATTTTGTATGGTATTGAGGATCTAAATATCAGTTTTAGGAAGAGGGATTTCTTTAGCATGAATATAACTCTCCTCTTTGGGAAGGTATCTACTAGATAATAACTAGTGAGTGGAGAGAGCTTTTAAACTACTACCAGATTTACATTGATCTTCCATCAAAAGAGAGCTTACATTGATCTTCCTCAACTGCAAAGCCTTTTTCGGGCTCGCTGTGAAAAATTTATCGAAGGAGACCTTCTCATCAAAGGAGAGACTTCTTCTATGGTTTAAGCCAAGAAGTATTAGAACCTTGTTTAATGCTGTCTTTGTAAAACTAAAACCTTCAAATTTTTCTGTCAGATTAGTCAAAATCACTATTATTGTGGTTTAGCATGTAATCAACACAGTGTTAAACAGTATCAAACAAGTTATATGCACACAGAAACACTGCTTCTCAACTATTTACTGCCTGCAACTTGCAAGTAAATAATCAAGGAAAAGGCAAGGGTAAGCTTACCCTCTGCAGTCAGTTTTTCTCGTCGAACTCTTGTGACCTGCTGCTTTAATTTGCTATTCTCAATTGATAAAGCCACCCGTTCTTGAAGCAGTGATGCAACCCGTATTGCCAGCTGCGATTCTACTGTCTGCAGAATGAGACGAAAGCTTTCAGTTGAGGCCCCGAGGGTCATTATTTTTCTCAAGAAATGTTTGACGAAAAAGGAAAACAGCGGCAGTATTTATGAGAAGGATTTATAAGGCAACACTGTAATGGAAAGAGCAACAATAATTCTTTATTGAGACTCCACTGTTCCTGAGAAATAATAATAATACTGCAGCTATGAAGATGAAAGACGTGGACATCGGTAGTTTAGAAGTATATATGATACAAGCTTTCTTATCGAGTCTATGAATTGTCAGTCATAGTAAACTCAATGGATATGTTATTAGAAATCTGAAAATGATAGACTAGCTAAAATCTTCCAATGGGATTACCTGAAGAACATTAACCTTCCTCTCCAATTCAGCAATGTACTGAAGCTTACGAACCCTTGAGCGCTGCCCAGAGTGCCTGAAAAGAAATCGTTAGACTCGTGTATCTGTCATGTTACTTTTTGGAAATAGAATCAGGAGGGACAAATACAAATAAGAATAGGCAATAATCAAGTTTATACAAGTAAATATCAAAATCTATACATCAAAGTAGTGGACATCAAGAACTAAACTTGTGTCCTCATCCATACGAACATTAATGAAAAATAAGTCAACCTAAACATAGTTCAACTGGCTAAGACACCTATCTCCGACCAAAAGGTCATGAGTTCGAATTCCCACCCACATGTTGTACTAAAACAAAAACATTAATGAGAAATAACATCATATTTCCCATAATGATCTCTCAAAACTAATGTTCAAAGGTGGATTTAGACCCCCATTATTGGAATAATGAGAAGTGAGCACTATAGAACAGCACATATGAATTAAAAATATTGCACAAAGCATAAAAATTATAGAGAATGGTTTCTGTGTGACGAGTATAAAAGATAAATGAATAACAATTAAATCTAAACAAAATAAATGGATACAGGGCCAGATCATTGCAACGGAAAAGCTTCCTTGATATATCATTGAAAACAGAATGGAGTCTAAAGACTTTACAAAAAAGAAAGGGTTAAAATGAAAAGGGGCATCATTTCCCCGTTTTAAATTGGAACAGGAAGTATCGCCAAAAAGATTTAATTTTGACAAACAAGCTATTTCAGAGAAAGAAGTGAGAGAACTCAGATTCTTGCCATGCATGACAGGCAAGAAAGCAGGAACACTTGATCCTACTAGTGTTTTCCATGAAAGAAATCACGCAGTGCTATTAGGAATGTACCACTTGTCGATTACATTATCACATTGTAACAGATGCAACATGTCACAAAAATTAACACAATTTTCATCAGTCAGCAATATATCTGGAAAGGGATACGCCTAAGATAACAATCTGGTTATATGATCAGCAGTTTTAACAATTATGCAAGAAGAATTGAAAACACAAAAAAATGTTAGAATCTGACCGTTTTGCTGCATTTTCATCTGAGTTAATCTCCCTAACTGATTCGTTAACGTCACCTTTTAAATTTGTAGAAGAGTTCTCAGCAACAGAACAAATATCTCTGTGCACTGGAGCCCCATGGTGAAGATGGACAAATTCTGATAATGCAGAAACCATACTGTAGTTCGAAAAGTCTGAACTGCATTTTCTCCTAGGTGAGTTGGGGCCATAAATGCAAGACGGATCCCATTGTTCACAAGTTTCATTTCCAACTGAATTCTCCACATCTTTGACAATACACAGACTCCCCAGTGAGTCTGCAAGACCATCCAGAATGGTGACAGAGTCACTAGCTGAGCGTCGCAGCGGTTGGCCTCTGGAATTCGATTCACGGTCGCTTAATAGTTCATTAAGCCATGTAGGCTCTTCCTCCAACCCAGAACTCAGAGAAGAAGAATTATCATGATGCAGAAAGAATTCATTAACAGGTGGGGTCGGTACAATAGGACCATTAATTGAACCAGCAGTTGTTTTCTTTTGAATCGGGCAGCGAGGACGAGGAGGAAGGTGAGTTTGCCTTGTTGACATGGTGAGGTACTGGACTAGATCACAAGTTTCCCATCAGCAACAGCCTCTTTCTTAGCTTTTAAAAGTGTTAAGGTTTTGGTTGGAAACGAAAAAGACAATATGAAAAGTAAACATCTTCTTATTAAAATTTTCACCAGCTTATAACAGCTGAAATCACGGGGGAAAACAAACAACAATTAAATTTTAGCGTAGGACAAAAAGCATTTATAAAAATAAAATTGACGACAAGAGGAAAATGACCCAAAATCTCCAGAAGAGATGTATGTCCATGGAAAAAAAGAAGCAGAACACATTTTCAATGGATAACTTCATTCACACTTCTCAAGAGCTAAAACACCAAAGAATTCTTTTGTTTCATTCTGAAAGACTACTGAAACTTCTCACCGAAATTATACAGACCCAATAAAAGATTCAAAAATATCACGAGGTTCCTAAGATTTGCAGCGAGAGAAACAGTGAAGAATGTAAAATATGTCAAACCCCCTCAATTTTTCCGTCTTGTTGTTACTTTTATCCATTTCTACCACCAATCTAAACCCCGAAATAATCTCATGGCAGTGATTTCTCTCTCTTTCTCGCCCTTTCTCAGCCACCAAACAGCAGTTCCCACAAAATTCACCCTAAATTTAGTGCCCCAAAAGTTGAAAAGCCAAGAACAAGCTGCATAATGCATTTTAAAGCCCAAAGAGAAATTACAACCCAACAGTGACGCCGCACTAAAATTAGTCACTCTATAGAAAAAAGGAAAGAAAGTGAAATCGAAAATAACAGCGAAAAGGACAGAAACCCAAAGAGAAATAAAACAAATACATACAACACAACCCAAAAAGTTTCCGAAAAGCATTGTTCAAGTGGGGAACGAGGAGAAAACCGAGAGGATTTGAAATTGTGCGAAGAATTTGGAAGAGAAGAGGCATGAAGTTGTAATTTGAGTTTTGGCATTTTCTTGCATCTGGGTCTGTCGCCTTACCTTGCCTTTTTTGGTGCTGTAATTTTGTTCTGCTAAGAGAAGAGTTCAGAGGGAAGAAGAGGACGCCATTGCCATTGCCATTGCCGTTGCCATTGTGGTGAAAATTCGGTCGTCGGTTCGAGGAAGAAGAAGAAGAAGAAGAAGAAGAAGTTCAGTGCTTTCCTCAGACCACAGCCGCTTTTGCGGCCACTCCTACTTTACTGGGCGCATCAAGGATGCGGGTGTACGGACATGGAAAGATTCATGTTGCTTAAAATATGCCTTTTTTTTCCTTTATTTATTTTATTTTTCATTTGGTACTTATGCTTAACGACATTTTTTTTTTCAAATATTACTAATTAAAATTTTTTTTAATATTACGACTTCGAATTTATTCTAAAAATAATGTTTAAAAAATCTTTCTGCCGGTCAGCTCGTCTGTTAGTAATAGTTTATGTTTCATGTTTTTCATTTTTAATACTAGATTTTGGAAATAATGAACGATAAAAATATTTAAGAAGTTTTTTTCTAGTACAATATGTTGGAAAGGAGATTTGAACTCACAATTTCCGAGTTGAAGATATATGTCAATTATCGTTGAACTATGTTCGCTTTGGCTATTAACACTCTTCTTAATTTGTTCGCTTTGGCTATTAACACTCTTCTTAATTAAACATACTAAATAAATACTAACATGAATGTAGCTCAATGGCGATAGAGTAGTGAAAATCTAAATTAAATTACACTATTTTATTGTTACGGCTAAATGTTGGATAAATTAGAGAGATATAGGCAAATCAATATCTTTTAAAAAGAAGACAAATAAAGAGATAAAAAACTATTTTTATTTTATTTTTAAAATAAAACATACAAATAATCAGTGAGTACACAATGATGCATGACGGGGAAATGCTACCTCCATTTAGCTCGACTTATACATGTTGCTATATATATTTTTTAAATTAAATAATAATATAAAAACACAATTAAATTTCAAAATAGTATTTGTCGTATTTGGACATTTTAAACCGGAGTGCCCTGCTACCATGCAAGGGATTGAACAGTAAAACAACATTAAATAAATATGCACGTGATAATTATAATCATTATTTTCAAATAGTAAAAAGACTTGTAAGTCTTCATTTTTACTATTGTTTGTGTTTATATTTTCAGTCATATTATGATGGATGGGGTTGTTAACAGTCTTTTTAACATATTTTTAAAATTTTGTGGGAATTCCATTTTCGTGGCGGAATTTTTATTGTTTATTTACTATTTTCTAAAATTATTTATGAAATAAAATATAATTAATTGCTTAATTTTCATACATGATTTGTTCATCTCTCTATTTTCAGTGTGTATATAGAGAATAATATGATTTTTAGGGTGTATATATGTATGTATTTTTCAAAAAGACGAGACAGAGCGAGACAAAAACGAAAATGTATTTACCATCATTGTCTCACATAAAAATCTAATCGAGGATTCCCTACTTGATTTAGGTTTAGGGCGGCGACTGGGGGAAAAAATGAACATCCCCAAGTAGGTTAAATATAACAAAGATTTAAAATGTGAATGTCAATTAAAATGTTGATGTCTTAATCTCATTAAAATATTGATAAAATATCAATGTCATATATATCTCTATAAAAGTTAGAGAAGTTAAAAATCATAAAAAATATTTAAATTAACAAATAAACATCTTTCAATTTATAAATAAGTTAAAAAATTAATATTAATATGATGTATACATTAGTGATATGTTGTTAATATTTTTCATATTTTTGTTTTGCAACATGATGATAATGTCTATTTACCTTATCAATGACGAATCTATGGATACATGAAAATGTCGATGGTAAAGTCGACATATCAACGGATATTGTCGACATATCAATGGATATTGTCGCCATATCAACGGATATTTAATACCATGAATATAAGTATAAATTTATCATAAGAAAATAAAAGGATTTAAGGAAAAAAAAATTATAATTCGACATAAAAACTTTGAAAGAAAGAGGCAAAAATGTAAAAAAAGAAGAAAATTCTAGATCCTTCCTAAGGCATACGTGGGCATGGCCGCCTTAATACTAAAATGTCAATATTATCCCCAAGCCTCAGCTAACCACACCTTTCAAAGAAACAATCCTGACCGTTGAATTGCTTCCTTATAATCTCAGATCTGCAACTCTGGAACCCCTCTCTCTACCTCGCCGTCTCGAGCGTACCCTTTTGGTTCTCTGCTCTCAGGTCACCGATCTCTACCGGATCCTTTCAATCTTCAAGATCTCCCTTTTCGTTCTTCCCAGGTTCATTATTCTCTCTTTAATTCATCGATTCCAGTTGTTTTCTCCTCGATTTTACTTTCGAGATCTTGATTTTGACTCCACTTTTTACTTTTATAGTTCTTGATTTGATTGCTTCGTTTTTTTAGGGTTTCTCAGATCCGATCGGTGAGGGAAACATGTTTGGAAGGCCCAAGAAGAGCGATAACACCAAGTACTATGAGATTCTCGGAGTCTCGAAGAACGCGTCGCAAGACGATCTAAAGAAGGCTTATAGAAAGGCCGCTATCAAGAATCATCCTGATAAGGGTGGCGACCCCGAAAAAGTGAGCTCTATTCCTCTGATTGGTTGATATTTTTTTTTTGTTTTTATAACGCGTTTTCCTGACGAGGGACGGTGGCCGATCACGATGTTCAGATCTACCACTAAGTTCTGGTCTTGGGTTTTAATCAAGAAAGTTGTTTCAACACGCTTGTTTTTAAGTCGGGGAGTTATTTCCTAGGGTTGCAGCAGTGTTTAGAGGAATTGCTGGTTTTCTTTCGTCGGGTGTGAAATTTGAACGTCGATGGACGTGCGTGTGTACTCGTTTAGTGATTAGTCTGATAATTTACATAGTTTGATGTGTTGTGTCACACGGAAATAACTTTCCCCTTGTTTAATTGCAAGGATTTTGTGATCGCACCACTTCAATGGAAAGCTAGATTATTGTAGACTGATTATTCTGTCTGCTGGGTTACTTAACTGCGAAGTAGATCGTTTTTCGATTTATTTTTCCATGGCAAGTTTAATCTAAGCTCTGTGGCATGTAAGAGCTAGCTTGGACAGCCGTGTTAATCAACCAAATAACAAATTCTGAACCTTTTGAAAAATTTCCATTTGTTATACAGTTCAAGGAGTTGGCCCAAGCATATGAAGTGCTGAGTGATCCAGAGAAACGTGAGATATATGACCAATATGGCGAGGATGCCCTCAAGGAAGGAATGGGTGGTGGCGGTGGTCACGATCCATTCGACATATTCCAGTCTTTCTTTGGTGGAAGCCCATTTGGCGGTAATAATTATCTTCTTGAATGTTCAACTATGAGATGTGGGATTACTGTGAACAATTGAAATCCATTTTGAGATTGTGTTTAGGTGGTGGAAGCAGCAGAGGCCGAAGGCAAAGAAGGGGAGAGGATGTCATCCATCCCCTCAAGGTCTCGTTGGAAGATCTTTACAATGGAACTTCAAAGAAGCTCTCTCTTTCCCGCAATGTAATTTGCTCGAAGTGCAAGGGGTCAGTAACTGTGGTGGTGTTATGATTACAACTCCTTTTTTTGCGGCGTTAATTGTCTGTATTTGGTTAACTGATGTGGACTTTGCTACAACAATCACAGTAAGGGCTCTAAATCTGGTGCTTCAATGAAATGTCCTGGCTGTCAAGGATCTGGTATGAAAGTCTCCATTAGACACCTTGGCCCGTCTATGATCCAACAAATGCAGCATCCTTGCAATGACTGCAAGGGGACTGGCGAGACCATCAATGATAAAGATCGTTGCTCACAGTGCAAGGGTGAAAAGGTTGTTCAGGAGAAGAAAGTTTTGGAAGTAATTGTGGAGAAGGGTATGCAAAATGGACAAAAAATTACATTTCCTGGGGAAGCAGACGAAGCGGTAAGATTGCTGCGAATTTTGCTTTTTTGATGTATTTGTTATATTTGCACTTTGAAACAATATCATTATATTCATTTCTTCAGCCCGACACTCTTACTGGGGATATCGTTTTCGTCCTACAACAAAAAGAGAACGCCAAATTTAAGAGAAAGGGTGATGACCTCTTTGTGGAGCATACCTTGTCTCTCGTGGAGTCGCTTTGTGGTTTCCAATTCATTCTGACTCATTTGGATAGCCGTCAGCTACTCATCAAATCCCTTCCCGGTGAAGTAGTAAAGCCTGGTACGCAACTGTTTACGCTTCATTACATCTTATAAAACACTACTCATCATGTCTGGTTTGCTGGTTTTTTGGGATTTTATGATATTGAGTTTGTTTCCCTGATCTATGTTGTGGCATTTGCTGACAGACCAATTCAAGGCCATAAATGATGAGGGCATGCCAATGTACCAGAGGCCATTCATGAAGGGCAAACTTTACATCCATTTCAGTGTGGACTTCCCAGACTCCTTGAACCCCGATCAGTGCAAGGCGCTGGAGGGTGTGCTGCCCCCGAGGACTTCGGTGCAGCTGTCGGATATGGAGTTGGATGAATGCGAGGAAACCACTATCCACGACGTGAACATCGAAGAGGAGATGCGCAGGAAGCAAGTACAAGAGGCATATGATGAAGACGATGACATGCACGGCGGAGCCCAGAGAGTGCAGTGTGCTCAACAATGATCTTGAATGGGGCTCCACAGCAGTGCAATGGTTTGGACATGAGAATTTTCAGAGAGAAGACCCCATATGGAGATCAGATCAGCACCCACCAAGCCAAGCCAGTCGTCCAAATTTTCTCAAAATAAATAGATGAATTTTATTATGTTAATTCAGTCGGTAGGGTTACGAAGTAAGTTTTCCGGATTATTATTTTTAAAAATGTTTTTGCTGTTCTATGTGTTTGCTGCTAGCTAAGCTTACCAAGAATTCAAAGATTTATGTATTGGAGTTGCCAGATAAAATAGGATTGGGAAACAGAAAGATCTCTGCTTCTTTTCTGCGAACCTGCCAACATTTTTTCTTGTTTCTTCTTCTCTTGCTAATTTTTTTTATGCCTTAGGAGATTGGGCAAAGCAATGATACTGCCAAAGTTTTTCGTTTAGTCCTACATTTACAGATCAAATATCAGTTTGTTCTTCGTGATCATATATATATGAAAGGACTATGACAAGATTATGATTATTTTTCTCTAACAAATTCTTGAGCGCTCTACAAAAGTCCAATTTCATATTACAACCTGAGCTTGAAATTTACAGGTAACATATTTAAATGATCAATTATATATTTTTTAAAAAAATTTGCCAACGAAGAGCTCTTTTAAAATAAATTAGAAGTTTAATTGAGCATACTCAACAATTAATCTATAGCTCTATTAATAGGAGTCAATAAGGGGACAAATCCACTACATATTTTATAGTATGAACTTAAAACTTATATTTGAAAAAATGGGATTTTTTAAAACTTATTTTTAAAATAATGTTGCATTAAATAAAATTAAAGAAAAAATGCTTATTTTGAAACTTATTCCAAAAATAATGTTTTTGAAATAAGTCCCCCGCTTAGTGCGCTTTATTAAAAGTTGATAAATATAAAAGGAAAAAAAACTTGGTTTTTTTTGAGGTTCGAACCGTTGAGGAGAAGAAAGAAAATTACTGCATAAAAAATACCGAAGTCGTTTGGTCGTCCGTTGAAGAAACAATGGTGAAGTGTGTGCCAACACATGATCGTCTCTTGAGAGACGACCAACTACTAAAAATGACATGGTCGTCTCTTCGAGACGATCAGGTGGGGGATTAATTTCAAAAGTATTATTTTTGGAATACGTTTCAAAATAAACATTTTAACTTTAATTTCATTTAATGCAGCATTATTTTAAAAATAAGTTTAAATAAAAACATTATTTAAAAAAACATCCTGAAAAAATGTCAACTTATTTTTTTAAAAAATATATAGCATAAATGTGACTTTTCATAACGTTTTACCTTACCCAAGAAGTTGTGAGTTCGATCCTATATATTGTACTTAAAAAAAATAATTGATTGAGTACTATTTTTTAAAATAATAATACTTACCTCGAAATTTTTACCATCAATATGTTCAATTTTAACCACCTTTATATTTTTGTCATGTAGAAAGGGAGAGAGAGATTTTTTTTCCCTTTTGTAAATTATTAAAAAAATAAATAAATAGTTGTCTCGGGTTAAAACATGAGTGTTATTCTTCAGCAAAACTTCAATAATTTTATTATATATATATATATATATATATATATATATATATTTTCTTTTAAAATGGAAAGATTTAAAATCTACCATCTTCTAATTAGAGATATTTGTGATTTTATAGTACAACAACACATGGAATATTTCAGGATTTTGTGATCAGAAATATAACTATATCAATTAAATTAAGATATTCTTAAGGGCAAATTACATATTTATTCTACTATTTAGGGGAGTGCCTCTAATTATTATTGTCAACACTTTTACAAAAAAAGTTATTTAAAAAAATCACTTAACTGAAAAAACACTTATTTAAAAATCACTCACGAATATCCGAAGTTGCTGTAATTTAGCGAAAAAATTGTAGACAAAAAATCCCGAAGGAAAAAAAAAAAAAAGAAAAAAGACGAGAATCCTTCCGTACGAAAAAAAGAAAGAAATGCTTCATTGGATTTCCAGGCCAATTCCCAGATGAGTGGTCGAGTCCAATGCTTATCAACGGTTCCTCTTCGCTTCAATTCCATCTCCAACCTTCGTTCTTCTCCATCTCTCAATTCTAGGTCACCATTCAATTTCCTTTTCTCTTTTGCCCGATTGAATTCGCCGCATCGTCGCTTCATCTCCAATCTCACGCATTCTCTTGCACGATTATGCAGCATTCTCACTTCACCAATCGTTTTCATCATCACCTACTGTTCCATGCGTTTTTCTTTTGCAGGCTTTGGTTTTGCGGAAGCCGTAACGCGATTGGAATGGAGGAAAAGGGGTTCTTAAAGGATTCTGAGGCAGTTGTGGCCGACTCCGATCTGCTGAAGAAGAAACTCGATGCTATGCGCGGTTCCGGCCCGCATAAGCTCCAGGTTTGGCTGATGGTTTCTCTGAACAAATGTTTATACGAGTCGCATTTCGTGATGACCATGATTTATGGAGATAATAGTAGGAACTCTTGTTCAGGTTATTGCTGATTTTGATGCTACGCTAACGAGGTACTGGATTGATGGCCGCCGAGGGCAAAGTAAGATTGATGGTTGTGGAAATGTCTTATTGAAACTTTAATGAACTTGATTTAAGTTGTACTGACAAGATTAACATGTGTAGCCAGTCATGGTCTTCTAAAGCAGGGGAATCCCGAATATGATGCTAAGCGGGATGATCTTTATAAATATTACCATCCCATTGAATACTCTCCTACAATTTCGGTAGAAGAGAAAACAAAGCTCATGGAAGACTGGTATGTGCCTCTTTAGCGTTCTTTGCTATTAATTTTTCATCTCGGTTTTCTCTAAAAAATATCTCATGGATGAGAGTTGGACGTTCTCAATGGGAATATAATCATACACGACATAATTGTTAGTTAATGTTTTGTTATTTTCATGATGTTTCTTCAATAAATGATCATGATGATGAATTTCTGTCCACATTGTTTTGCTGGTTCTGGTTGGTGGATGTACCAAAGTCTGTAGTTCCATGTTATGCAATGCAGGTGGGGCAAAACCCATTCACTTCTTATTGAAGGAGGTCTTACATTCGATGCGATAAAGCAATCAGTTTCTGCTGCCACCATTGCTTTTAGGGAGGGAGTAGTTGAGCTGTTTGAGCTTCTAGAGGTAAAATCTTTTCTCCCTGAAATGAAAACATTACTTGGCTACTGCCCTTTGCGGGGTAAATATCGATGTTTTATTTTCTAATTTTTGGTTGTCATGTTATAGCATGATTTTTTATATCAAACACCATCTAATCTTTTTTAACTACCAAAAATAATGATGACCAGGAAAAGGATGTTCCTGTTCTTATATTTTCAGCTGGGCTTGCAGACATTATAGAGGAGGTAGGCTGTTCAAATGTTCATTGATCTGTAATGCATATATTTGAGATGGTACGAGTCTGGTTCAATTTCTAAAGCTCACTTCCATCCTTTATTGATATCTGCCTTTTCTTCTCCCTGGATCAGGTCTTGAGACAGAAGCTTCATAGATCTTTTAAAAATATTAGGATCGTTTCAAATAGAATGGTGTTTGATGATAATGGTTGCCTTGTATCTTTTAAGGGTATCTTCCCTTCTCTTGCTGTCTATTACTTTTGCCATGGTTATTTTATTAGCGGTTGTAATGATTGTTACAATTGAATGAGTTTGTTCTGTGGAAATATTCCTCTTTGCAGGGAAGACAATACATAGTCTAAATAAAAATGAGCATGCTCTTGATATGGCTGCTCCTCTTCATGACCAATTGGGCGATGTAGATGGAGCAATTGATGATACTGCCTCAGTAAGAAAGCGGAAAAATGTACTTCTTCTTGGTGACCACATCGGGGATTTGGGGATGTCAGATGGTTTGAACTATGACACTCGGATATCTGTGGGATTTCTGTATGTGAACTTTTTTAAAACCTCGCTACGTTTATGTTATCTATTACTGATGATTTCTGTTTTAAGTTTAAACTAAGATTGAAAGAATTCTTTGTGCACAATGCACATACTCTTTGTAAACAAAAATATTTTTGTGCTAAATTAGAATTAAGGTCCTATTTGTGTTATGATGAATATTCATTCTCGTACTCAACCATAAGCTCCTTTTGCAGGAATGATAACATCGAGAAATCTCTTGAGAGCTATCGCAATGCCTTTGATATTGTTTACCTGGTGAGTTAAACACTCGTAAAAAAAAAGGGAAGAAAAATAAATAAGGAATGAGAAAGGACAAAATCTTTACTTTTTACTTCTCATGTCCATTATTTCTAATAGCATACATTTCTTGTCCACATTAAGTACTCATTACAACCATCATACCATAAGATTTAACCAATTAGAATGTTGTCTGCAGAATGATGCATCCATGATGGGAGTGGTTAAACTCGTACAGCAACTCTTTTCAGCTGAAGGTGTCTGAGAGACTGACCCTTTTTATATTTTCAATGAAGGTGATATTTTTTTTTATGAGGCTTTTTTTTGAAGGCGATCGCTTATAATACTCAACAAGAATATTCTCATTCTCAGTAGCTGAGTGATAATAGTAATACTCGCTGCTTTCACTTAAAATTCTTTAGTAGAGTAGTCGAATAAGGAGCCCATCATCTCGATGTAGAACTGAAGAATTAAGTTATTGATTTGGAGTTTCGCTGCTGGCATTGGTTGCTTTTTTGGTGGTCGCTTATCATTGCTAGTTATCTAATTTTTGTAAATTGGTTAATGTGGGAGTGGAGATTTGAAGTTAACTAATGAGATGAATGTGTTGGTTATGAGTTCATAATTTGTGTACATGAGTTAAAAAATCATTAGATCCTATTAACTTTTGAATAATTTATGATAAATTAAAATAAGATATTGGAACTTAACCGATGCCCATACATAAGTTACTTTTTATTTTTTTGGAGATTAGTACTAAGTTGGTGATTATATTGTTTTACAAAAATAAAATTGTTTCATAAATCTGTGAAGCCATAATTGAACAAGGAATTAATGGGCATTATAAACATTTAATTTATGCCCTCTTCAATATTTAATTTATTTTCATTTTACAGTAGTCTAAACAAGAAAATTCTTCAAAACTTAATACAGAAGTTAATTAAAACTAAAACAGTGCTTTTGAGTCAACTTTATATATAATTAATCCTCTGTCGTTGCTTTTGGGAAAATTTGATCCTCTGCCTCCAAAATCACTTTGGCACGGTGGAATTCTATTTGCAGCCGTTGATGAAGGGGCGTTGATGAACTCAAGCCTTTCTTCTTCACATCTTCCTGCAATTCCCTGATCGGAATTGCAGCAAGAAAGCTCTTGATGTATTCATGGCAGCATTCCTTCCCTGTGCATACAACAACCTCCTCTTCCTCTACATCACCATTTCTTGACTCATCTGGAATCTCCACCGGATTCTTCTCATCCGAAGCTTCTTTCGAGCTACTAGGTGGTTCTGCTGTTGAAGCTTCTTCAGAGTTGCTTGGTCGAACGACGTCAATGGATGGTTTTTCCTGAAGCCTCTCTGTATTGTTCAGTTGTGGCACATCAGTAGATGGTTTTTCCTCTGTTGGTGACTCCGAGCTCTCTGATGGCTTTATTTCAATGGAGGTTTTCTCCTCTGATGACTCCGAGCTCTTTGATTGCTTTGTTTCAATGGAGGTTTTCTCCTCTGATGACTCCGAGCTCTTTGATTGCTTTGTTTCAGTTTTCTTCTCTGATTGTGTTGTGTTATTTGGTAATCTACGAATTACCGTCTCCTTGTTGAATTTCAGAACATATGCCTGATTGCACCCCTCGTAAAGCCGCTCACCCAGAGTGTCTATGATGTAATAAGCATCCCTGTCAACCTTCAAGATGAAGAAGTGGTCATTCCAGCTTACAATGTAGACTAATGATTCGCCAGCGTTAGTTGGAAGGTCTGCTGCTAGGCGGCTGATTTCATCCCATATGGTGTCGAAAGACATGGCGCCTTTAAGGAACTCGAAAACTCCCTCCTCTTCCTCTAACCCTTCTGGGTGGAAGAACCCAACATACGATTTCTCTGCAACAACACATAGAGGTCGGATTTTTGCATCAATTACTGTGTCAAGATCAAAGTGTTTATCAGAGAACTGCTCCATGTATTCCTTGTTTTCACAAAGGTTCCTCCATTCTGCGGATCCATCTCTGATCAAATTGTCTAGTTCAGACTTGATGGGCATTTCATCTTGGTTGGATAGCAACCAATCAGCAATGACAGCAACTAGAGCCGTGCAGGCACTTTCCCCAGAAGCTCGCTCGCTCCTTTGATCGATAGAGGCAAAGAAGATTTCAGTTTCAATTTTCAAGCGCCCATCACGACTCGTTACCTCCTTCTGCTCCCAAGTACCCACAGCAAAGTTGTCATCTCCAAATGCAGCTGCTGATAGTTCCAGATTATACCACTGCAAGAAATTAAATTAAAAAAAAGACGAGGGGCCATCGATCATCAGTATGTTATGAGTAAAACCAACAAAACAAGTATCCATTAAAGCAGAACGAAATGGCGTTTGGGTCTTGAGAATATACCCCAGAGTAAACCAAATTTGTGCTGAGCTGCCTACGGTCGAAGTCGATATCATCTCCACCATCTTCACCATAATGTTTCTTCAGAAGAGGCTCTCCTCTATTTTTTGTAGACTTGAAGCTTAGTTTTCTCTTCCTCCATGACAAGATTTTGCGCATTGAGTTCTGCTGAAGAGTTTGTGAACTATCAACAATGTCCAAGCATTCTGCACCATTTCCACAGTAGATCCAACATTCATCTTCATCGTCAGCCATCGTGTTCGGGAGGAGCAATCCCGCCACATGGTTGGCATGGGCTAGTTTTTCATAACCAAATGGCTGCCTAACACATGAATCCCCCCTTCCAGCATCATCATATGAATCCGAGTCAGGCGAAGAACTTTGAGAAGAATCCTTATCTTTAATATAAAACCTATTAACAGTAGCAATCTCTTCTTCATGGAATACTTCCTTATTAGGTCTTCCAGCTGACACACAATGTCTAAATATTTTTACTCTATCCAGACCTGCTCTTATTGCAGCTAACCCATCTTTCTCTGTAGACAAAGCCAACGACGAAGGCGGGGAGAGCGTCACGGGCATAATCGACCTCTGGACCATCCTCATGGGCTTTGTATCAGTTCTCAGTTCCAATAGTCTGAGAGATAACTGCAATATTACACCAGAGGAAAGCAAAATAGTAAGGAATAAGAAGAAGCACTTTGAGAATAGCCAGTTTTTGTTGTTAATTTAAGAGATACTTACAAGGAGCGAGGGGCTAAACTCTGCAGTGCTTCCACGAACCTTCAATGGAAGGCTTATCTGAATCTCCTTTCCATCAGCTGAAGCTGCATATTCTGCTAGGTTTAGCGATGCTGTTCCGATTACGGAGTAACTATTTCGAAGTACTTGGTTTTCTCCCTTAATCAATATCGAACAATTGTTAGGAAGAACAATTATTAGAAGGCATATCGATTTTAAATCTACATCTTAGGAGGCAACCACATCGTAGCGGGCCCGCGGCCACACCCAATAATTAGAAACTTTTTGAACACAGACTAAGTTAGACAAACAAACAAGCTGAAGATCAAAATATGTACCATGTTCAACATTTGGGGATGAAACTTGCATCAAAACCCAGAGGACAAAAAGAACAAAATATTGTGTTGACTGTCGACAAATTAACAATTACATTACACATTCCAAGAAAACTCCACCATAGACCAAGAGTTTGCATTCAACACCATTTAGTTTATATAATATGGTTGAGTTGTGTTACTATTAATATAATTTGTATTTATATTTACCAAATCTTTATTATATGGTTTGTTTGTACATCCTACATTAGCTAGTGCAATATGTATAAGATATGATGTCAAAATCTGACTCAGCATGACCATTGATTGTTTGCCACATCCCTAACAAACAACTTTATATTCTTCAATTATTTCTATGAAATATTCCTCAACTATTCCTCCACTTTCTGCTGATTTTTTATTAGAAAATTTGTTCACATATAAAGCCCAAATAATGTTCTGTTTTTTCCTTTGCATGAAGCATCATTAATGACAATTATGAGAGATGAGGAAATCTCGTAGAATAGTATGATTTTATTCTATGTTAAAACTAAAAGCATAAAGTATTGGTAATTAATTTATAAAGTGACAATTGTACATCATCAAAGGGGAAATAAGATAATGTTTATTTTGTTGTTTTCAACTATGGAAAAAGTCAACACAGAAAATAAAAATTGAAAAAAAAAATAAAAATATATCAACATCCTCATTGTTCAACCATACGTCATCCACTGGCCCCAAAACCCAAAAAGAAAGAAAGATAGAACAGAGAAATTACAAAATTGAAAATGAAAACAATTATAACGCCTTGTCTTTCTCATCAAAACAAAAGTCAAACCTCCATGGGAGAACCGGTGGGAAAAAACAAGCAATTAATATGACAGAAATTTATTACCATGAATTCAATTCAATCAGAGAAGAGAACAAATAAATGCCCTAAAATGAGAACAAAGCATCAAAATCAGAGAAAAGAGAGGATGGATTTCGATGGCTTACTTTTTGCAGAAGTGTCAATGAAACCTTCCATGGAGGAATCAGATCCTCTTTCGAACCCCGCAAAATGGAACACAAACTTCTGAACTCTTCATTCCAATCCACCGATGATGCCAATTCCTCCCCCTCACAGACATTGCCCTTCTCCGTGTAATTCCTCTTCACGGAGCGTCTCCACGAACTGAGCCCCATGATTTTCTGCCCCTTCCACTTGATCTCCACCACTAAACCCCTCGCATCCTTCAGATTGTTCTTCGTCAGTCCTTCCAGGCGGCGGAGATTGATGATCGCCTCGTATTTTCTGGACGAGAACGGCGGCCAGGACGGCCATCGCACCAGCCTCACCACCATTAATCAATCGATCGATCGATCAGGAAAGGAGATAAAAAATTGGCGCGATGAGGAGATCGCAGGGGATTGGATTTTTATAATTGGAAATGAAAATTTGATGAAATCGGAGAGAAAGTGGGAATCGGAAGGAGGAAAGAAAAGGGAATCAGGATTATGATACGGATAAGGAATGGAAACTGATTGGGGATACGCAGAGAATATTTTGGGAAAAAGTTCAGAAAAGCGGAAGAAGAAGAAGAATGAAGATGATGAAGAGTGTGGGATATTTATAGCTTGGAAAAACAAACAAACTGTAAAATGTTTTTTTTTTCTTTTTTCTTTTCTTTTCCAGAAGAGGAGAGAGAGGGATTTACTTCATGAAAACAACTGTCTCTACACCTTGGAAGTACCGCAATTGAAGATTTCTCTCTCTCCTAATATTTTATTATTTTCATTTTAGCATTAAAATAATAAAATTGTTTAAATAAAAAAAAGAGCAAGGCTAGTGGTGATCTCACTCTCGAAAGAGTCTCGATATGCTTAGTAGGGCGTAAACAAAACACATAACATAACTGGTTAATTGGCGAGATTGGATGTCTGTCTATCTATAGTTTAAAAACGTATAAGTATTTGAACTTTCAATTATGCCACATAGATAGTTGAATCAAAAGCTTATCTTGTTTGATAATAATTTGAAGAGTAGATAATTAAAAAAATGATTATTAAATAGTGTCTCATGAATATAATTTTTTACAAAATTGAAAGCCTATATATTAAACACGAAATATATAAACACAAAATTGAAAGCCTATATATTAAACACGAAATATATAAACACAAAATTGAAAGCCTATATATTAAACACGAAATATATAAACAAATCATACATGACCTTAAATTTTCAGTGGCTAAATTTATAATTTAACCAAATAACTCCTCAGTTAAATTTTACTATTTATTTTTATTTAATAATAATATATCATGAATAAGAGATTATTGAAATCTTTAACCCAAAAATATTCATTAATGGTTACTCTCACGGTGAATAGAAAAAAAAAAGAAAGAAAAAGAAAAAGAAAATTATATATTTATGTTTACAAAAATTATTTTGGAACTGAATTTTAAAGGGGAAAAGAAGGTGGAGTATGATTGATTTTGTTAAATAATTAACATAGGAATCAAAATAGATCAAATCACAAAAGTTGGAATAAAGTCGTAAAGAAGGTGTGTGGGGTCCACAAATTTTTAGGAATTAACGATTATTTACCAATTTTTTTAGAGTAATAATTCCAACTTAGGGTAAATACTAATAATGCAAATGTGGAAGGCTGATTTTTGTTCCCCTTATTTTCATTCTTGTTTAAGTAACTATTAAAGTAAAAAATCAAGATTTATTTTTCTTTTATTAAAAAAAAAGAGTAGTGTTTTAAAATCCAAATATATAATATAATTTAGTTTTTTAGTTAACTAATATTGTGATATTTAATACATTCAAGAAAAAATATTTAATAAAAACAAATTACACTAAAAATTATTTAATATGTCATTTTTTTTAGTTCAATCCGTGTATGGGTGGGGTTAAACCTTAAATCTTAGGAAAGATGATATTTATCTTGTCTGAATTAACTCATATGTCGATATTGTGTCTTTTTCATGAATGAAGATCTATCATATTATTCTCGAGATGAGAAGATACTTACGACTTCTTCAAAGGATTCAAAATATTTCTAGAAAATACAAAAACCAAAACGACCATTTTGATAATACAGCAACGAAAAATGAACAAAAGTGAAAACAATACTTAATTAGGTGCTATGGAAATATGAGAATCTAAAAAGAGAATATATTTTTTTCCAAATTTTTAAAAATTAAATAATTATCAAATTTTTAATGGTGATTAACAAGATACGGTGGTCATGCTTAAAAGTCGACATTTATTTATTTATTTATTTCGCTTTGCTGGTTACGTCCTCTAATGATAGACTAATGGAATTGGTTGTAAAAAGAAAAGAGAAAAGAGAAAAGAGAGTAAGGGAGAGAATATTTTATTAATGAATGAATTAAATTAATTGATTGATTAGGATTAAGGAATAATAACATTCCGGCAAAACCAACAGCTGGTTTGACAAAGTCAACCAACCACTGCCATTTGAATATTTCACACACATTAATTGCATCATAATTTTAGCAAACACAATATTAATTTAATTAGGGAACTTATGTTGTATTTTAAAAATATTTTCTAGTCCAAGATCAATTTTTTTTTTTTCTAGAGAAGAGTAGATCAATTCTAATGATTCTTAAATCCATTTTATAGATAGTATTAGCTAATAATGGTGATATAACATGTCACTTGTTAATTTAATTTTATATTTTATTAATCTCAACCTTTACAACAATTAATCAATTAATTGCTAAAAAAGTGCAGTTACTTTCAATCTTCGTCACTGAATTTACTTTTGTTAAAAAAAGTAATCAATAGGGAGATGCTCTTTGTCATTCATAAAGTAAATTACAAATATCAATATGCCATCTACGATACTTTATTTAATTTGAAATGAATATAAAGACCAAGGATTCATTGGTTTGAGAACATGTATCGAAAGTATTGGTGTGAAAAAATAATTATTTCTTCTCTAAATATCAAAATTTTATTGTTTTTGGACTTTGTACTATGTGAACAAAGTATACCTAATCCTATGTTGTCATTCCGCTACAAAATTTTTATAAACAAGATGATGATGGTTCATTTTTACATCACGCTACTGAAAAGCAAAAATTCATAGACCTGAGACTTCTATTTCTCAATGGAACTGCAAAAATTGCGTTTAACACGATTTGTCACACCTGTCGTAACTTGGACCATTTAAGCATCCTCAAATAGGAGAAAAAGGAATTTAAAATTGCATCTTCAAAGACATGTCTATTTCATCGAGTCTCTCTACAAAACCGTGCCAAGATTGTTACATCTTTTGGATATAGGCTCTAGAACTACTTTTGAGTCTCCAAACCATTGGTCTAGGTAAGCCCTTCCTCTGTATGTTCCAAAATAGCAGTGGGGGTGGGGTATTAACGCAAGAAAGAAAACAAAAAAAAGCAATTATATACAAACTTAGAGAAAGGAAAGAGGCTATTGTAGAGGTGTAGTCAGTTTCATGATCTTTATTATTTCACACAAGACCAAGGACCATTTTTCTTTCCCCCACTTTCTTACACAAAAGATGGTAGTGTTTGTCTGTTTGATTTGAACCAATGAATGCAGTTTATTCAATGAACTTAACTCCTTGTCAATGTTTCGACTTCCTTTTTGTCTTGGTTTGGTTTGCAAATTGTCAATGATTGGTGACAAAAAGATATTATAAGCCCATTGGGGCTGTTGTGGGTGGTTGTTTGGTGGGGTGTGTTCATATGTGTATGTTCCTCCATGTCATGGAAAGGGAAAAAAAAAACCATGCTATGTTCTTTGTATTATACCCAACAAAGAATCTAAAAGTAAAAAGGAAAAAGGAAAAAAGATGCATTATAGACTAGAAAAGAAAAGAAAAATACTCAGAATTTATATAGGTTGTCCTAAATTTAAACCACAAAAATCTAGTAGGTGTGTTCAGTACTTTCTAAACTGAGAAAATCGATCATAAGAGGCTTTTTTTTTTAAAAAAAATGATATATCATTTATCTATTCCTACAAATAGAAGAAACAAGGAAAAGATAGACTACAATTACATGGCTATGCATAACAAAAATTGCATACCTGAAATCGGTGGCGCTTCTCTACGTTAAAAGACTCGATCCTTCGCCGCAGTTCGGGAGAATGACAGAAGAATCTATCCATGGTCGTAAATCAGATTAAAAAATTTACACCAATTTGGCAGGCTGGAACTAAAGCCAGAAAAATGACTGCTGAAGATGTTTATTTCTTCCGCTTGCCCTTCAAAAGTCTCTGGTTAGCTTTATCGCCACGGCCAGCACCCAACGAGGAAGCAATAAATGGGGAAGAATTTTGGGGTTCCGCCAAAGTCTGCTGCTGTCCAGATTGGAAGGGATTTAATTCTGACGAGGCTAGAACAAGAGAGAATCCTGATGAATGGGGTGAGATGGGCTTGTGACTGAAAACTGGAACATTATCCTTGGAGATGCTCTGTTCTTCACAGAGGAAAATATACAAGCAACTGTGGGATGAGAATTACTTGAAACGGGCTTTGATGAGGAATCTGCTAATGCTTCTGCTGAGGTTGCAGGGCATATGGAACTGAAAGGTGCCGCAGTAGAAGACTCGAATCCAAGAGGTGAAGTTGAAGTTGCTGCAGCACTACAGCTGAACATACTATGGTGAGAATTTGCCGTTGTAGATATTGGAAGATGAGCTAAATGAGAAGGCAAGTCCAGCTGGTTTTGAAGTTCAGGATGAGAATGCATCATTGCAAGTCCTGGAGAACAAAATTTGAATTATCATCATGATCGGTTTTATATGATGCAGACTCTTCAATGGACTCACTGCATGAACTGAAAACAATGAATGACACGAAGGAAACAAACTTTTCCCGGTATAAAAAGTGAATGAATACAACAAAAATGTATGGAAGTCAGAAGTTTTACAAATGATTCTCTTTCCATTATATTCATATCCAGTTAAAAGGAATCTTTAATTAATGAATGAAGAGTAGAAAAGGAGAAAGGAGAGACAAGCTACCAACCCACTCATAACCAAAGGAGAATTTTGAAAAGTTTCTCCAATTGATAGCAGATAATGGAATATGTCTACAAAACTACATTTCTGAATAGAAGAACTAAAGGAATATACTGACCTGAAAGAGCGACATGGTCTATGGCTTGAAGAAGTATGGGCATTTGAACATCTGAATATGAAGAAGCTGCAGTACACTGTGTATGGAGCCTTATTACCATTTTCAGAAGCAGCACGTGATTCTGTCAGAGAAGCAACCTTCGTGGAGAAAGTAAGGTAGAACAAGCATTTGGTTGCTTTCGTGGAGAAACATTATTTCCATAGCTAAAAACTGAAGGATCACTTTGCTTGTTTTCTGGAAGATCCTTATCTTCAAAAGAATGGGTGGGAGCAGAATCATCAATAGTTTCCTCTTGTGATGTCGTGCAAAGTGAAGATGCATTTTGAAAAGTAAAGCTGGAATCCTTTGCATCATAGGTGGTGTCGTCCGAAGTTTTCAAATTAGAACTTCTGTTGAGGGGAGAACCCACTATCACTTCAGATGTAGTTTGTTGTCTTGCAGGTGCAAAGGCTTCATTTGCAGTTTTCTGTGTCACAGCTGAAGAAATATCACCGTCTTCTCTAAACTCAGCCATAGCAGGTGCAACTCTTTCAGCAGAAATTTCATCATGGTCAAGAATCCTATTATTGAAAGATGCAGTGACTAGGTAAAATATTTCAAAGATTTAAACAAACATTGTACCGTATATGAACTTACTTGAACAGATACAACTGTACCTTGAGTTCTAAAGAGGTGAATTACTTAGAATCCTTCATCGCCATCAGAATAATTACTTAACTGCTGCGACAATGTAACAATCTTATAAAATGTTTGCACATCACCACCAAATATTAAATGGTGAAGCAATAAAGGACACGTTGATACCTTGATATCCTATTTGCAAAGGATAAAAAATGAAAACCATGTATGATTCTAATTAGGTCGTCTGAAGTTCACCAGAACATATGTAAACGAAATAACTTCAGCATTATTGTAACAGAATCTAACAGCCTCAGTCAAGAAACAGAGCAAAAAACTCCAAACTGATAGTTTAGTCAATTTCAAAAAACAAACAAATGTCTCAGAGTCTGTAATCACCACATCAGAAGCTAGGAATGCGGTTATACCACGAGATCCATTATGTGTGCGATGTGGGAAATGAGAAAAAGAGCACCAAGTTAACTATTGAACCATTGAGGTGCTCCAGTATTTTAGAAGCCATCTCATAAGACCTTGAAGGAGTATAAATAGAGCTACTACACACACCGAGAATGTTATTGTTATCACCATCCACGTTCATAATAAACTTTCTTGCAAAAATTTTCTTGGGTTGAAGGGACAATTGAATTCCTAATGGAAGATGGAAAGTGCTGAACTTCCCTAAATTTGGAACTCCAAGAAGCCTGAAAACAAAGTCCATTTACAGAAACAGAAATAGGTCCAGAAGAAACAGGTAAGCTTAATCCTTATGAAGGAAGAATATTAGGTTTTTGTTGAAATCTGCTTAGAGGAACGGATCCAAAGTCATTATCTAAACAGGAGCTTCTACGTTTAAAACCATGCATATGGAAGAAACAAAGTACAGTTAGATCATATAACATGGAACTCTACAAAGCAGGGGATCATAAGACATGCAGGATGATTAGAATCTAAGTTTTCCCTCTCTTTCAAGATAAAAATCTCCATGAACGGTGGTCCCAGCCCAAAACCTGGGGCGAATTAGTAGGGGGCTCATAAAACCTTGCCATTGAATATTGCATGAACTCTGGAATAGAGCAACTGAGCCATGCTGTACATTGAAAGTCGGCTTTGATATTTGGGGATTACAAAACCATTCTCAGGTGTACCTGACTGGTAGACGTTGGCACAAGCAACATATCTATTGATTTTGAAGGGAACGATGTACAACTTGGAATAGCTGAATTTTCCCCAAGTCCTTGAGCTCGCATTGAAGGACCAACTTTTGGCCGCCTTCTGCCCATGTATGCCCTCGCCATCTCTGCAGGTGACGAAATATCTTCATCAAGGACCTGAAGACATTTCTTAACCATTAAATGTGATAACAGTATAAAAAACATACTGAAAACAGTTTAGTTGAGAACTCTCATGCACAAAAATCATAAGGCATAAAAAACCAGGGGCAGAGAAATGGAAGACCCGTCCACTTGAGCTCAAGATGGGAGTTGAGATCGATTGCCTGCAACTTCCACCTTCCTGTTGTTAAATTCTGGAATAGAAGACGTAAACTCGAACCTTTTCTCCTCATTCACAGCAGGTAAATCAACAGTGCTTGAATGCAGTAGGATTGTCAAGCGATCAATCTCAGACCTGCCGAGTGATTTTCATTTTAAGGTGTCATAGCAAATAAACCCAAGAGCTAAGAGATATTTTTATGATAAATTGATAACTTTGACAAATATATTACATTTCACTACAACAAAAAAATCGAAGTGGGAAATAGAGAAAATGCAAGCCAAAAGATACAGTACCAAATTCCTGAAATCATATTACATATAAAAAAAATTATGAACTGAAAAACATAGTACTCGTGCGGCGAAGAAAAATATACTCCAAAAGTTAACCTGGTGAAGGTCTTTTGCTTCAAAGTTTTTCAAGCTCCATCGTCCCAAGTGATCATATCTATTCCGATTGTCACCTACATTGGCTGTCCTTTGCAAGTAAATTTGCATACCATAAAGAATTAAAGATACTCCAATTAGATTAATCAAGGGCATTCAGAACCAGCAACCAGAATGATGTAGGTAACCAATTTCTCTTAAATAAGCCTACAATAAATTTTTTTCATAAGAAATCCAACTATAACTGGGAAAATGAAAGAATATAAAAGGACCTACAAAACAAAAGAGGCCAACCTAAAATAATAAGTGACCACCAAGTTGAAGCACCAAGTTGCAAGAACATTCATATCCTCTAAGCAGAAGCACCCACCAGATACCAAGATCATAAAACTTACCGTTCGATCTACCTTCTTGCCATCCTTTCTTGATTGGCTTGATTCTGATGCCATTAAATGCATAAAAGAAATAATAAATAAGCTACATAGTTCCCAAAAGAAAACTATCCTAAATGAATTTTAGGCAGCAAATTTCTAATCGGCAAGACTTCTTTGCTGGACGAAGAAGTTGCAAGATATCAAAATAATCATTACATGGAAGAAATTTACGAACCAGATCGACTAACTTGATCTCAAACAGTTTCTGTAATAAGAATAACTATCCTCCATAAAAATAAAGGCAATAAACGGTGACAAATGACAAAAATAAACTCCAGCAAGAACCAAACAATCAAACAAAATCACTTGTAGACTCCCAATTATGTGATCCACAACAGAACCATACAAAACCTAAAGAATTTGAAATTGAAACCTCGAGACGAAGTAGGAGACGTTAGACGGTGAGGGAGGTTAGAAGACGGAGGAAAAAAGCATCTGAGAACCAGAGGAAATGGGCCTTTGCGCCGGATCAACGAGCTTCAAGATCCACGAATTACTTCCAGACGTTCCAATATCAGTCGGCGGCGATTTTCTAAGGAGTTTTTCATCCTTAAATTTTCCAACCTTTCCGAAACCTGCTTGGACTTTCTGTTCTCGCGCAGTCGCCATGAACGAGAACAAATGCGAGGAGGAACTACACGGAATCTCAAATCCGATAGAAGAAAGAATCAAGTTCCAAGTACGAATTTCATCGTCCGGAATGAAAATGTTCACTGTTTTGTCTGATGTTTAATTACAGAAGCAACAATCCAGCGGGAGAGATCAGGAATCGTCTTCGGAGGTTTTTCTCGCTCTTTAATGGCGCGCACTTAACTGTGGACAGTTTTTTTTTTAATTAATTTTATTTAATTATGTGTGATTGAGAGGGAGAGGAGGTAAGTATTTTGATTCCAAGGTTTATATATCGCAAACATATATCTCAAAAAAGATTGTGACTTCATCCTCTATTCTCACATGATATTATGTTTTTCTTTTTAAATATTTGATCTTACTATTCTCAATTTTCGATCATGTTAGTCATTCTACTTTTCAAAGATTTTTTTTTTCATTTATAGTATAAAAACTATATCATTTTTTTCAATTATCGCTGAACTTTAACGTATTAAAGAATTTTTATTATGTATAAATTTTTTGTTAAAAGTACAATGACAAAAATTAACGTTTTGAAAGTATAAAAATTAAAATGCACAAAAAATGAAATTAGATTTTGAAAATATAATGATCAAAATAAACTAAATTCAAAAAATAAAAAATAATGACCAAAATAATATTTAAACCTTTACGCACAATAAACATTTTTTATACCTGTTTATTATCTTTATCTACCTTTATTATATAGACATATTTTCTTAATTCAATTTTTATTTTTTAATTATATTATATTTAATAAATATATATTTTTCATTCATAATTTAATTCAATATAAAACGTTACATTATATAACGTTATGTTCTAGTTGATCATTATAAAATTATATTAAATGTTTATTTATTGGCAATATATTATATGGTCAATAATTATGAGTGTTCAAAATATCAATGTCGATGGAAATGTCGAGTCGATTTTACGGACATTTTGGAGAAAAATCATGGAAATTGTGAAAAATAATAAAAATTATTTTAATTAGTAAATAAAACTTTAATGGTAGCTTAATTAAGTTATAATTATCACTTCTAACTATGTAAAAATATGAGTAATGAAAATGTCGATGTCGATAAAAATGTCAGAATAAGATAATGAAGATTGATGAAAATAATTTGAATTAGTAAATTGAAGTTCAATGTTGCCTAATTATGTTTTATTAATAATTAATAATTTATAGCCAAATCTAGTGTTTAATTACATAAACAAGATATGAAATATTGATATATACACACATGTACCTATGATGATTAAATTGAATTATTAGAAATGAAATTATGAATTTGAAAAATTTGTAATTAAATTTGAAAAGAAAAATTGAAAAAAAATCCAATTCGAATAAAAATAGATTAATAGTGAAAATTGAAATAAATGAATAATATTATTATTAATATTAGAAATTTAGAATTATAAAAGAATTAGACTTAGAATAAATAAATAAAAAAACAGCGTGATTCCCTTCACAAACTGGCTGGGCCTCTAAGGTAGATCCGACTATTTTAAATTTTTTTAACTTTTAAAATATCGTTCATAAGTCGATAATATCACGACATTTTGACGATATTTTAATATATCGCCGATAGAAGAGAAAACGATTTCCCTCTATGTGTCGATGTTGGACCCTTTGACACGTCGGGCAACGTATCAAGTGATATTTAGAACATTGGTGATTGTATATATAGCAACGAGCCCAGTTAATGTAAATACAACAGTTAACATGTTGAATTTGCAAATAAATAAATAAAAAGTAATGCCCAAGCCCATTCAGAAAAAGACTGGAATAGTAATTTTACTTTCGAAACTTTTTAAAATTGTATTAAATTAGTAACTTAATTTAAAAAAAAGTTAGATCACTAAATTTTGAATTATACTTCCATTAAATTTTTATTTCACTAGCAGTAGTGATTAGCTCAAGTTTCTTGGATTGAATGTTCAAGGCTAAATAAATTATATTTTTCAAATACACTAAATTAAATCTAAAGTAAAAATTATGAACCTAAATACATTTTCTCACACAATTTGTTCCACTCAATTCGAAATGCACTTTTTGGTAGTATGATCTATGTCTGCAAAACTCTCTCGAAAATGAGATGGTAGCTCGAGCACGATAACGAATAAAACTACAAACTAGACAATCATCCATCTCGTAAAAGCTTCAATACCAAATTAAAATTTTCATTTAGAGTATTTTAAAGATACAAAACAAAAGGAAAAAATATACGCCTTTTTTCTCCGCATAGCATTACTACGTGTTACGACTGATTCTGGTCGATAATACTCATCGGGAAAAAATCGAAAAATGAATGACATGGTTCCGAAAGGGCCATGCTCCTTGCCACAATCACTTGCAGGCAGGAACACATGAGAAAATAACTTAAATGTGTTACCTTTACATAAAAGCATTTATATTTTTAGAGCCTCCCTAAAGCCAATGCTGAAAGTACTTTGTAGACCTTTCTTGCCAGCATTTGTTACGTTTCCCTTTTGCATCATCGCCACGAATTCGTTATAGTCGATCGTTCCATCCTATGAAAGTAAGGAGAATCACGATATGGTCGGTTTTATCGTTAAGTATCACGATTCTCAACGAGTAACATTGTCTTCAATATCGAAAGCAGAAATAGTTGTAAAGAAGAAACTACTTACATTGTTTTGATCAGCTTCACGCATCATTTCTTCCAACTGGAGATCCTCTATCCCGAAATCTTTACATGCTTGTTGAAGCTCGTCGTGCGTAATGAACCCGCTTCCATCCTTATCGAAATATGAAAAAGCTGCAAGAAGATGATCTTCCTTCTCGATTTTGTTTAGATGCAATGTGGCAGCTACAAACTCCCCATAGTCAATGGTTCCATTGTTATCTATATCTGCCTGCAATTTCAGAGCATAGGTTAAGCTATACTGTACTTATTGCATCAACCATTTCTTCCGAAACGCGAACTTACTGCTTGCATTAGGTCGTAAATCTCCGACTCCTTAAGGTTAGCTCCAAATTTTTTCAATCCTGCTTTGAGTTCTTCGAAGGTGATTTGACCGCTGTTGTCGGTATCGATCATCTTGAACATTTCTTTGAGGCCAGCAATTTCTTCTTCAGATAAGCTCTCTGCAATGACCTAAAATTCAACACCACAAGCATTCAGTTTCATGATAATAAGTCTCTCCCTTCTCCATTTGGGGCTGGAAATTTCATTTCAAAATTAATTATATCAGCTAAGAATCCTCCATAAGGTTTAACCATGTTCACGAATCATAATCCTCAAGCGCGCTCTCGGGTTGATTTCTTATCACCGTCACTGTCGGTGATTCGTCACTTATTGTTATTTCAAATCAAACTAACCTCTTCCATAATAGCTGCGTTACTTGGTAAGTGATGATAGTTGTGGTTATGTAAGAAAAAGCAGTTTTCTATAGCTATATCTGGGAAATTCAAAGACTGACCTTGATAGCCATTTTCTTGAGCTTGTTCATGGCTGAAAACTGCTTCAATCGAGTCAAGACCGCTGAGTCAAGTGGCCTGTCAGGAGCCACACCGTCGACTTGGACCCAAGGGTGGCCTGTAACGAATTAACACGATAAGCGCATAATGGCAAGAAAAACATTGATAATATAAACCAACGTGACAAACCGGTAGTAATTCAATAGACCAACTTACACAAAACTTCATATGCTGTTAACCTCTTTCGTGGGTCTCGAATAAGCATTCTTCTCACTAAATCCTTCGCACTGTCCGAGATGCTGGGCCAAGGGTCAGAAGAGAAGTCGAGGTCACCGTGCAGGACCTCTTCGAATATCCCTTGCTCGGATTCTACACATCAAAACATGGAAAACAGATAATGAAATTCACGTTCAGTATAGGGAGATTAAACTTTCCAAAAGTGAAGGATCACAATAGACCTACCAGCCCAAAAAGGAGGCACTCCACTTAACAGAATGTACACAATTACTCCAGCACTCCAAACATCCGATTCGGGACCATAGCGCTTCCGCAAAACTTCAGGTGCAACATAGTATGGGCTCCCAACCACGTCATTAAACTTCTCACCTGAATGAAAAGCCATAAATGAGAGTCAAAATGTCGAATTCGGGTCTTATATATTGTTACATTTATACGCACATCAACTGCACACGAAAACCGGGTGGGTCCTAGAGTTTTGAACTAGATCTTTTAAAATGACAATAAATAGGTAGCTTCAAGAAAGCTCACTTCATAAAACATTCATTATCGTCACCCTGGTCAGTAACTCCATAGATTAAACAGCATGAGATAACAAATATCATCTCGACCCATTTGGCAGTTATTAGAGTGATATGAAACTGAAAGTTTTAATAGCGACTATGTCAAAAATCACGGTAATATACCTGGTTTGAAGAATATTGATAGTCCAAAATCAATTGTTTTGAGAAGTGAATCCTCTTCCTTGCTGATGAAGAGAAAATTCTCTGGCTTAAGGTCTCGGTGCATCACTCCTAGAGCGTGACAAGCTTCCACGACCCCAACTATGGTCCTTGTAAGCTCGGCAGCCTTCCTTTCAGTATAATGTCCGCGTTGAATGATCCTATCAAATAGCTCGCCACCAGCACATAACTCCATAACTACCTGAACTGCAACTGCATCCTCATAAGCTCCCTTGATCGATATAACGTTCGGGTGCCCGGCCAAGTGGTGCATTATCTGAATTTCCCTTCTCACATCTTCAACATCTTCCTCAGTTACTAACTTCCTCTTTGCAATTGACTTACAAGCATACTCTTTTCCAGTTGCCTTCTCCACACACATATATGTCGTTCCAAATTGTCCTTGACCTAGTTTCTTACCCAAGCTGTAATATTCCTTAAAGTTCCCAGTCTTTGTCTGCAAAACTGAACCACCACGAAGCCCGGCACTACCCACCCTTTTCATAACAGGCCGTACCTTAGGCTCCGCAGGCGGTTCTGATTTGACTTCTGATTCAGGCATCGTCACTTTTTCAGGGGGTTGGTTTTGAACTGGCAAAGGCGATTCGGGTTCGCTAGCTGCTGCCTCATTGACATTCTCCCCATTACTATGATGAGAAGCCGAGTTCTCGGGAGATCGAGATCGCCACATAGCAGCAGACACGGACTGAAAGAATCCATTCTTTGAAATGCTTGGTCCTACACAAGTATTCCCCATCGCTTCCCACAACTCAAAAAGCTTCCAGAGACTTCCTCAATTCAAGCACAAACATACATTCCTATTCTATATGATTCACACCAAACTTAAGATCCAATCTCCATAAGCTAAATACACAAATCTCCAAGTCAACCCCAAATCTCGCTTGGCTCTAAGCTCATAAAAGCAACCATAGAACTATAATCAAATAAGCATATGCTGAATCAAACAGAATCAAACAGAATCAGGAATCAGCATCATCCCCAGAACTTGAAGAACCCTTTATTGGTACAAAAATGGCAGAACAATCGAACATAAAAGTGAAGAAAATCAAATAAGTAAAGGGAAAAAGTCAATGCCTCTTCTAGAATCCGATCAAATCTGAAGGTGAACTACAAGACCCACATCACCAAACTCCTCGAGCTCTTCAACAACTAGCTAAAACGAATAGTCAAGTCCAGAAATCAGGAAAGCCGATTGAAATTCAGCGACCCATCTGGGGAAAAATCAAAAGGGGTCTTAGATCTTAAGCAAGATGAACCGAAAACGATGATATTGAGAAAAGATGAGACGGCTTCGCTTGTTGAGATGATGAAAGAGAGACGGTGAGGCTTCTGGGTGGATTTTGTCTGGTGAGTACGAAGACTTGTCGAAGAAATTTAAAAGAAATTTTAATCAAATCGGGAACATGGGTGATGGGTTTTCGTTTGGGATTTTAATTGCGCCAAAACGCGTGGAGTTGGATTAAGATTAATTCAACCCCGGCCTCTGCGGCTGGTCTTCTTAAGAACTTCATTAAGAATAATTAAGCAAGCAACTCTCTTCTTCTCTCAAGTTCCATCCACTTCATACTAACTTGAGAAACTAAAATTGATCTTCCTTCTTCTTTCCTTCTCTATGGTTGAGTAAAGTTTTGATTTTACTTTACCCAATGAGTTGTTTTCTCTTTGCCATTTTGTGTCCAAAGATTAATTCTTTGGTGTTTTTTGTGTCTGAATGTTTGTTTTGTTAGTTGTGTTGTTTTTTGGTTGGGTTTGGAAATTTTTTCCTAATTACTTTTGTGATTAAGTTGTTTCTTGTATTTTTATAGTTGAGTGAAGGGAGTAATTGCGCCCTAATTTGTTTTAGATTCAAAAATTCAGATTGTAGAGTTTTTAGAAATGTAAATTATATAACCACAAAAAAAAAAAAAGAAATAGAATATAGAGTTTGTCTCTATTTACGACAATTTTGGATTCTACCAGTTGAGTTTGATATTTTCCTCTTTTTCCAATTTTGAATTATATATTA